TTTTATCTTTTCAGAACTACATCATTAAAATAAATTAACTGCTGTTTTACATTTTTGTCAAAATACATGACAGATAATGTGATATTATAATGACATTAATCTTCTTTATTGCTACTAAACAATTGCTTGCTAGCTAACAGTACTGTAGCTTGGTTAGCTTAGTGTTACTGTGAATTCTTCTGAAGGCAACCAAATGAAGTTATCACCTCTTAAATGGAAAAAAACCTGTGAGGAAGCTAGACAAATAGCAATCTTCATTCTCATTCCTTTCACATACAAAAGGTGGGAGGATGACAAAGTCTATCCTCAGGGGAAGAGATGTCACAGGGGAATGCTCTCAGAGACACTTGGCTGACCGTGCTTCTGCACACATCTCCGGGATTCCCTCCTCTTCCTTCCCAGTATTGTCTCACATCCTGCTGGGCCCAGTTCTCCTCTCCTCTGCAGCCATCGCTGCCACAATAGCATCAGTGGGCAGCGGGCACCGAGGGGTGACCAGAGGGACACCAGCAGTCAGCCTGACAGGATGTGACACACTTCTCTCAACAATTAATGAGTACAAAAGGAGCGGCTGACACGACATGACAGCTTAGCGTGGCACTTCAGGCCTTAATGGCTCACTGAGTGGCATCTTCACACCCGGCCATCACACTCAGAAACAAAAGTGGCCAATGATGGCAACACGAAAGACACTTGCTAGAATGTTTTATTCAACATGAGGTTGGTTCTTGGAAAAAATGACACTGCAATAGGACGAGAAAATGATGGAAAAACTCATGCTTAGCGGTGGAGAGCACTGTACATTTACTCTAGTACTGTACATCATTACAATTTTGGAGGTACTTTACTTAAGTACTTTCAATTTAATGGTATGCTATACTTCAACTCCAATGCAGCTCAGCAGCAAATATTGTACTTTCTACTCCACTATATTTATTTGACAGCTACAGTTGCTGGTTACATTGCAAATTTAGTAATAGCAATAGCAGCAACAAACTACACAGCAGTATATAAAGCAGTAAATATTAGCTTCACCTTGACCAGCAACAACAAAGAATACTGCATACAGAGTAATGATAATCCAGTATTATAACAATTACAGAAGCCATTCTGCTGCCTAATAAGTACTTTTACTTTTGATACTTTAAAGTACATTTTGCAGCTTATACTTTGTACTTTACTTCTGCTTAAGTGAAATTTGAATACTTCTTCCCTCAAAAGTAGAATTACTGCAACATCTATGATATTATGGCAAAGTCTTTCCAAATATTATAAAACTGCAAAGAAAAACAGCCTTGCCACTGCAAATTTCAAAGCAACGATCGTCGTACTAACCAAAGACATAAAACATTCAACAAACTAGTATTGATATCCTCTCTCCCCAGTGAGTTCGAGCCTCAGTAAATGAGCAAAAGAACTGAATTTCTGCCTCCTCTGGCGTTTGCCGACTGTTAACAGCAGCTTTCTCAATATTAATAGTGATATTACCGATGGCACCACTGAAAGAGAGGGATTAGTGCTCATACTGCTGAATGAGAAGTCACCGCTTGGCTGGTATACATGTGGGATTTGACTTGACTTTTCTTTAAACACAGCAAATGGGAAGCCAAAAATCTTTTTCATTTAAGAGCAATTAAGTGGATCCCAGAATCACTGGCTCCAGCACGCCGCCGAGGCTTTTTTTTTCCTCCTGGTTTTATTACCCATTTCCTCTCCCTTGCGCCAGCAGAAGGAATGCTCACTTTTCTCTCACAAATCCACATTTCCAATGCCAGAATCTCACAGGGACCACCATGATTAAGTGCAAGCCAGTGCTTCCCTAAACATGTGAGACATTATAGACCACCCCCCTCCTCCTCCAAACACTGGAGAAGTGTTGTGTTCCAACATTTATGTGAAGTAATTAAAAACATCCACCAGTAATTTAATAGTTCTCACCAAGTAGAGACATGAAGTCTACAGTTTTTTCACTCAGTATAAATAACCTGGAATGCAGTGAGTACACAGACAGACAGTTTGGCCTTTTTTTCTCTCTCTCTTCCTGTTTTTTGCAACATTTTGTAAGAAGCCCTGTTCTGTGTCACTTTGACCCAAGACGAGGTTGTGTAGTTACAAGCGGCACACTGACTTTTAAATTCATGTTCCAGATAGCCTGATCCATAGATCATACTCTGACAGCAGATTTAAACCAAAGCCTTCCTATAACTTGAGACTGTCATTCTACAAGTCTTACAATCTAACATAAGTGAGCATAAGAATGACCACAAGCACTCGCAGCAGCAGCGTATCCGAATGTGGATGGCTCTGTGAAACGCATGTCAATAGCCCAGAGAGCCGGCAGTGCAACAGACATGTGTTTCCAATCTGTCTCTTTTCTCACAGTGAGAGGGGAGGCCATTCATTTATCTCACTGTAAATACAGCACTTGAACACTCAGATGCACTGTTTTCGAAACCCCCCTAAAATACAGTCCGTGTGGGTAATTAGCTTAAGCAAACAGTTACTGTTACTGATTTTTAAAAAATAATACATTTGATAAAATCATTATGTTATTGTTTAAATATGTGCAATATTTGGCTCAAAGCCTAAACTAAGCTCAGCCAGTAATGTCCTACATGGTCAGATCTGTTTCTACCAAATGCTCTGTTATCTATGATGGTTGCTGGACAGTAATCTGGGTGAAGAGCACATGGCATTAAAAACCCTGGCTAAGAAAATCAAATTTAATTGATGAAGGAAGTTTTAGACTGGTGCCCAATTTTCTTGTTTTGAACTCAGCTAACTATTCATGGTTTGGGGGGTCAAGGGGAAAACAATTAAAGATGCACCTAATTAACATTTTTATATAAGCACTGGATCAAACAACTACATCTAATGTGAAAGTGGTCACTCCCTGTAATGAACCCACAGAGAAGTAGATCCTGACTGCGTTTTGGCTTCCATCAGGTCATTGTTCATGGCTTGTTGCATGCAAATCAATCTATTATCCACAGGTTTAAAGACAAACTACAGATCACTCAGAACAACTTAGTCAGGGATGTGTTGGGTTTGACCCAAAAACAAATGGTGGCGAACAGCAATACCAACAGCTCGGATGGCTACCATTGAAGGATACAGCTGTAGAATCACAACTCAGTGCAGTACATAATATTTATAACAACAGAGCCCCTGAGTATCTTAAAAGACCAGAGTCCTGTAGGGTTGGGGGAAATCAGACTAAAGAGCTAGTGTTGTCGATTTGTGCTTGCCATGGTTTAATACCAATATGGGAACTTGTTCCATTAGATTCTGTGAGGACAGGAATTGGATAACATTTTTATAACTTTGCATCCTTGCTATCTTTACATTAAGTACAACAATGGAAACACATCTTGGGATTTATTATCCTTTACAATTTTGTAGTGGTGTGATTTATTGTCCTCCGTCTTTCTCGTGTGTCAACTGAATCTTTCACATTTTCTTTTTTTAATCTGAATACACATTATATGAGCGCTCTTCTCTGCCAAACTCCACATGTAAGTTATGGCAAAGACTTAAAGAATGGTGACAAATGGGGTTTCTCAGGAAGACAGACACATTCTCCCTTCAGTTGGCCGTAAAGAAGACAAAGCTTTTTACAGTATCAACAGACGCGAGACGTGACCTTTTGGCCCCTCAGGGCACAAGGTGAAAGCTCTGGGAGCAGAGGGCTGGTTTCAGCAGTCTGCCAGCAGACGAGACATATGTCCTCCTCACCACATTCCTTCCCATCTTAGATCACTGAACAACTCCCTCCGGTTTTCTGGCTTCAGTCCCTTCCAACACAAAGCAATACAAGTCTTTTTTTGCTCAGATGGCCCCTTATAAAGAAACCATAATAAACCGGGTGGTACAAGTGTAATAAGCTCAGTGATATTCCAGTGCGGCTTCAGCTGGTGCTTTTGTGCAGGTGCCTTGAGTTTGAAATTCAGATTAGTCTGATGGGGCTGGAGGTTAAATAGTCAAGTAAGGATTTCCTACTTCCATTCAAATGAGATTCCCAAGAAGAAAAAAAATTTAGTCATCATGAGCAAAGGTTCAGAGAAGTCTACTCTGGAAATACATGTGGTGAATGAAGGAATAAGCCTGGGGAACCTGGGGCTGTCTCTTTTATATTTGGGAAAGACTGTGCTGCTGAGTGAACTGGCTGCAACACAAGCCTCTTCTGATTTCATATTCATGACTTCCGAGAGGAGAGGGGGGATAAACAAAACAAGCAAGAAGAGTATAGCTGATGGAAGCCAGGCCCATATACTAACCGTCACATCTAGAAAGTCAAATCTCATCTCACTCAGACTGAGGAAGAGCAAGGTCATCCTCGGCAGCAAACACTGACTCATCTCACACCCACACAAATTGAAAGAAGAAATCTTGCTTGCATTCAGATATCCAATGCCCTCATAGTACATACACTGCCTTAGTTATCTATCAATGTGCACAACCTCAATAGCCCATAAGGACACACAGGGACACCAGCAAAGAGCCTTTGTGACAGCAGCCTACAAAACAGCTGAGGCTGTGGGTCCCTACAGCAAACTGCAAAACACGTCACTTATCTAAAGAATAATGACAGCATGCACAAATGGAGCCTGGAAGCATCACAGTGGTACTGCCTTTTCAGACCAGTCATGTCCTCTAAACAGAAGCCCCTTCAAAGAGCCCTGCCAAGGACATACATAAGTGTAGAGCGCCCTCTAGGGGACAGAGCTGACTGAGTTGATTGGTCATGAAAAGCAGTCAAGTGATAACAGTGCAACCAAAAACACATCAAGGCTCACACTATGCAAACTTAGCTTGAAAACAGAACGTGTGGGGTAAACGTGGCAGACAGACAGTGTGCTCATCCCAGTCCAGAGACAAGACAGGCTGCCCGGAGTCAGGCTCTGCTACAGCAAGGGAGATATATGGCCAGGAGGTCAAACAGGTCGAACATAGATGCCACCACAGTTCCTTCATTTTTAGACGTCACACACACACAGACGCAAGGTCTTGAAGCCTTTAATAATTTAGAGGACACATATTTGTCAGGAGTTGTACTTTCTTACAAATAGGGCCCTGCAGAAACATTCAACATTACGGTATTCCCAATCTTGGGTCAATGTCACAGGCTCTGGATGGAAGAAAAAATAAATCTGGAAAAACAAATTAACTGATGGTACATCTATTTTTGCTGCTGGACCATCAAATTTTAATTCTTCTGAAATAAGCAGAGTCTGGTGCCAGCGGATAATGGGAATGCAAATTGCCAGAAATCCCCCAAAACACACTATAAGCCTCCCTCACAGACCAGCTACTGGTCCAGGCTGTTACTGGAACAAAAAAGGTCTTGTTCAATTTTCCTAGTAAATAGGGTTTAAGAATGTATACTGATAGATGCTAAAGCAGCCTAATGTTTACCAATACACACTTATTTTAAACAGATAAACAAACTGGGTGTACTTAAGATCCATCAAACAGCTGAAAAGCAACAGGTCACATTCTCAGAGGAACAGTACCCAATTGCTTCTCACTGCCACACTAGCTCTCTACTACCAAATACTGCGCAGCACTGACTGGCTTAAACAACTATTAGTGCACAACATAAGGTGAGGATGGATCGTCACTCATTGAAGAAACCGGCTTGTCCGTCTAATAAATATGCCACTCAATGAGAACTGAAGTGTATAATAAGTGGCATTTTGATTATATTCTTCTAATGAGCACAAGTCACATATCAAATACCCGCAGCGTTGTGTCACCCAGCAGTTTCATTAACCTGGTTTCCATTACATGGCCTGACAGGGAGAGCTTACTCACAACATAATGCATGACTCGGGCTTCCAATTGCCAACTGAAGTCAGCCTGTCAGCTAAGGCCCTCTTGTGGGAAAACTGGCAACTGTAGGTGCAATCAGATAAAACGTCAACCTTGGGATTTGTTTATTTTTTCGTAGACAGTGATTTTAATATCAGAAAATCACAAGTTCATACACCTGCCATTTTCACTAGAAGTTAAATGCAAGGGTTTCAGAACAGAACAGGCTTCAACGTCTGTTACATGTCAAAGAGCTGCAGAACAGAAACATATTGGTATCGTGTCAAATACAGATATATATATATATATATATATATATATATATATATAAAAAAAACACCTTTCTTACCTTGTGACACTACTTTTAGACTACAGCCACAGTTAAATTTTCAGAAAATATGCGTGATATTTCCTTAATTAACCTGCTAAATTTGACTAACAACTCAAAAAATGTGGCTTCTCTTTGACTAGGTGTTAGTTACAGAACATGCCTTCATACACACAGCTCGCCGTTTATTTCAGTGATCAGTCAGTCGAACATTAAACTATTAGGACTCCGGTACAGCCTCTGCATGGCCTCATGCTTCCCCCTCTTCAAGCCCACTCAAGCTGGAACATGTCGAACATAAAAGTCATTGTCAAAGTAACTTTATTAAAAGGCAGATAACTGTGGTATTGTAGTCTGCTAAACATCTATTTCAGTGCTTAACTGCAGGGACATTTTCTTTTTGAATGAGCTATGTAATAATAAAGTCCAATCTTGCTCTTGCAGACGATATTGTTGATGTGCGAAGTGAGCCTCTTGATGATTTTACACAATATTTCTAAGAGAGTAAGGTTTAAGACAGAGGGTCGAAACAATCCATTACGATTAAGTGCTGTAGGTTTGTCCTTCTGGTGGTTGTGGAAGCTTCATATTTTCTTTGGACATCATTAGACGCCTTAACTCTTGAAGAACAATTTTAATGCTATAAGAATTCTGCCATTTTGCTAATATTGGTATGCTACGTGAATCCACCTGTGAGACACAAAAAAACAAAACAAAAAGACACCAAATCAGTTTGACAGGAGCGCTGACTTATTGCAAGGATCACATGTGAGCGGCACAAAGCCGCAACGCAGAACAATTTCTGAGTTCAACAAATGAGAAGATCAGCTTTGTGACAACACTTACCGTCCCATTGGAATTATTTATCCCATTCATGTTAATTTTTGTTACAAATCTAACAGTCGGGGCTGCCTCTGGGTATCTGGATCCACATTCCACTTTCAGACTGTATATCCTGTTCTCATAATTGGTCTGAAAAACACAGAAGTCGAGAAAAACATGTACATCGGTTACAGCAGCTGTATTAGTGGACAGTATTTTCCGTCTGGATTGGAATGTCGATCCACATGCTGAGCTTGCGCTGCTTACTCTTGCTGGTCCAATGATCATGCCTGTCCACCGTGTGAGAGTCATGTCTTCGTCATCCTCAAGGCCCCAGCTGACTGTGCCATCGCCTTCGCCCTTCTGCCCCTCTTCAAGCTCCTCCAGCAAGCGAAAATTGCGTGGAACTTTAACTCCTGAAATACCAAAAAGCAGAATATGAATTACACAGATTTAAAAACAAAAATATTCTGCATTTTTTTGATCCTGCTGACAAGTATTGTGTGTGTAGCCAAAGCAGCTGCAGTATCTGTGTTCCGTAAAACCACTATTGGCACTATTGTTGTCAAAAAACTATTAAAAACACATCAGTGAGACGCACTGGTGACATGTTCCCTCATTATGATGAACATGGGCGCTGCCATTCATTTTGTGTCAATCCTACATACACCGTCCGCTGCTGTAAGTACTCACTCGAGCATCAAATGTTTATTAATCTGCAGCTGAAAATAGCTCCCAGCAAATGCAGTATTTATTCCTTTTTTCAATAACTGCTAAAAATCCTAAAATGCCCAGATGAAATCAATGAGCCAGAACTCAGAAAGTACTGTAGGACTACATGCTATGGTGTTATTGATGCTGGCCTTCTAATGGGATTTAGGAACAATAAAAAAAATAAATTAAAAAAAAAGGTTATAGAAACTGCATAAAGAGAAAGTCATAATGGACACACTTTTTTAAAACTAACTGGTTTGAAGGGGAAATGATTAATGATTACTGGAGCAACCGAAGCAAAAATGGCACAGATTTGATAAAGTTCAAATGTTTCCTTGTCTTAAATTGCGGTAAACTGAATAACTTTGGGTTTGGACAGAACTAGAAATTTGTAAAATATCACTTTGGGAAACTTTTCACTATTTCCTGACATTCTATAGACCAAAAGGTTAAATGATTAATCATCAAAATTATCGGCAGATTAGTAAAAAGAGCTGAAAAATTAGTGTCTCAATTCTCAAAGACTAAATGATTAGTCGATAAATAGAAAAAACTACAGATAGATTAACCGATGAGGAAAACAACAATTAGTTCCAGCCCTATTTGTAAATAATTGTTACTTGCAGCTCTAAAACATAATTTTAAAATGACAGTTTTCCTCCGAAATAGAACCGTAACTGCACGATCAAAGTGTTTTGTCACTGCTGGTGCTCCAACTGTGCATCATGAAAACTGATGCAGACACACATTCATCTAATGCATCTAAATGAGTAATAGTGTTAAACATGTGCAAGACCAGACAGGTTGATACAAGAAATGACTCAATAAATTGGTGCACTATATGCACGTGGCCACAGCACATCCTGATCTACCTACTGTGGAAATGCATCTAATTTGATACCTTGTTCACAAGACATTTACTAAAGATATCTGATCCTGCTGAACACTGAAGCTTAATAATCTGCACTCTTGACAGCCGTTTGGGAACGGTCATGAGATTCGGAGCCCATGGGCTTATACTGCTGATTTTTAAACAAATGATTCAAAGTAACATCCACTTGTCTTATGACTGATGTTGTAACTGCTGACTTGATAATAACATCATTCAAGACGAGTCCAAAGTGCTCTGCTACTAGGGAAATGTTCTAGGAAGACAGCTCAGATGTTGGCATCAAAAACAACGCCTGACAGGAACTCACAGAGGTGTAAATGATGAACCACTTACAGCTCATGACTGGAGAAACGGTGGAGGGTGAGGGGACAGCACTTAAGAAAAACTACTGCTATTCATAATTATGAGCCTGGAGACAAATTCACAGAAGGGGAAGTGAAATGAGCACCAGGGACTGAGGCATAAGACATGGTGAAAATATTCAAATTTCCCCCGTCATCGAATCGTTCATTTCACCTCCTACAATCTGAAAAGTTTTTCAAGATTTAACTCAGGGCTTGAAAAAAAGTAACGTCGGGACTGTTGAACTAGCCTGATCGGACAAGTGAGTTGCAAAAACATTGGTATATAAAAAAAAAACGATATAAAAATAATCGCATTAGAAACTCAACATCCTACAGTTGTTTTGCAGCTCAAGGTTGGCCAATCAAGAGTTGAAGTGACGCGACAGACGCGACAGGCGGCTGTCAAATGTTACTTCTCTAAACTCAATCAACCTCTGGGTCTGAAAGTGAAACCATGCAGACGGAATTTAAACCTGTATTCTCTCCAGCGGCCAGCAGGGGACGAGTCTGCTGGTTACAAAAAGAAGTCTGCTTCCATTAGAAATAATGGTAAAATGTTGCTACTTCACAGTAAAAACAGTAAAATTTGTCTTGGGGCCAGTAAATTTCTAACCCACTGGTCCGGTGGGGCCAGTTGCAAAAAAGTTTAACATTGAGCCCTGTTTAAGTCCTTTATCAACATGTGAACACTGGTAAAGACACCAACATTATCAGCTAATTCACCACAGCTCAGGTGTATTAGCATTTATGTCAGCTGCTAGGTAAAAAGAAAGTGCAGTACAGAAATGTACAAGATCCTAGGGATGCAGCAACAATGAATGAATGTATATAATCCACACACACGTTTTTAAAACTTTATAGGAGTCAGAAATCTGTAAATATGCTTAGTAAAGGCCACTACGATCCTACATGATGACAGACAAATAGCTCAGCGTGGTCAGATCAGCCCATCATGTGCCTCTCATATATATTCATTACTGTATAGTTTTCATCTATGGTTTGTGGTTGCGCAGGCCTTACCTGTTCTCTTCGAGACCTCATTATTGTTATTTATAGGAATGCTTTTGTTCCTACAAAAATCCTCTGGGACAAAGCATTATTATGACATTCAATTGTAAGAATAAAACACGAGGCACAAATGTGAGCTGTTAGGAACTTTAGCTTTCCTTAAAAAGGCATGAGGTGTGTGTCAAATTAGTGATTCACTTTAATCTATAACCAAAAAAAAATAAACTTCACTACATTTCAAGAGCTAACGTTATAACTGTTTCAATGTTCCCAGGCCAGGCTTTTCTATCCATCTATATATCTAGGGCACTTAGTGACTTAAACCTAGCTAGGTTAAAAATGAATGAGCAGATCGCGCCAACTAACCTGGTAACGTAGTTTCGATTATGAAGCTACTTCCGCGTCGTAATAAATTCCCCGTGTATTGTTAAACTGCTCTGAAGAAATAACGTAATAATATTGTGAGAACATAAATCCTGTGAATATTTACTTTGTCTGTTATTTAAAATAAAAAAAAGAAAAAGAAAAAAGTTCATTTTTTGCAAGTTTGAGAACCACGCTTCCTGAGCGCTGAAGCAGACATGGGCTCCGACTATTTGCTGAAACAAAGCGTGCCAACAGTATGTTCTCTCTCTGCGTTTCTACACTCCCCCAACCCTACAACGACAAAAGCATCTACATCTTATAGAAACGCCGGGTTCTTTCCTGCTTCTACTCAGAGTTAAAGAGTAACGTTAGAAATCCTGCTAAAAATGGACAATAACGTTAGCATGTGGGGTGCTAATGAAAGCAGCAGGGGATTGCCCCCCCCCCCCCCACACACACACACACACATTAAAACATATATCGTTACCTTTATGTTGTTTCACAGAGAAGCTATCAAAATCCCCAGATTGCACTTGTCACTGTGAAATCGCAGTGACAGCTTAATGTCTATTAAGAAGACACACAAAGGGCTTGTGCTAAGACAGTCACTGCGAATAAAGTAACGTTAGGTTTATTCCGATCAAGTGACTAACGTTAGCTAACATTAGCTGGACACAGAACCGCGCGTTGTTGAAATGTTCCAGTTGCTAAGTTAGCAAGTAACGTAGCGTTACTGTCTGCGGTTGGTTACAAGCCTCATAATAAGGAGAAGGTACAACGTATTTGCATTATTATATCGCATTATACTAGCTCTAGGGTTTCTTTGTAACAACGCTAAGTCAATACTGACGCCTATTTCTGATACCTTGCGCTATTTCAGCTAACTCACGGGCAAGCTATTCGCTCGTTTAAGCTAGGTTAGCCAACACAGTAGCTCCATGAGATAGATGGCTCCCATGAAGACCACTGCTTTACGGAGAGGAGATATTTCCGTCACAAGTTGTAGTTCCGAGCAATTTGTAAACAATTTAAGTGAGCAAATGGCCACGTTTGCTGACCAAGGAGACAGCACGGCCCCAGCTTCGCCCACACTTTGTGTCGCTGTAGATATTAGTTTGAAGGCACACAAACCTGAGGAGGCCGCCATCTTCTTCAGCCGAGTCCAGAAGCACACAGCACTGTGACATCACATCAGCTAAAACCGGCAGAGCAGTGCTGCACTGGTTTTCACACACAGTTTACTGTTCACTTTCCATGTAGTCTGAAAGACAACAATTACACCACTTGAACGTGAACTGCCTTTTGAACCTTGATGTTTCCTTAAATTTCCATTCCAGCGGCTTTGAAGTCAACAAAGGTTTTATTTGTGTGACATATTCAATCTGCTTTTTACATCACTTCATCAAAGGAATATGACTCGTCTGTCTTTTAATGGCTGCACTATTCCATGACATGGAAATTTCAGGTGGTCTTATAAGTATAACTGTTGCAACTAAAACCAGTACGCCTATTGGACAACAAATTCAATAATAGATGTGATAGTGATTAACAAATCAGAAAAATATGATCATAAACAAAAGGTTAGACTAAATGTGTTGGTGTAAAAACAGCTAGCCCCTTTTTCTTTAACTTTAAGTTAACATTAATGATACCTCCAAAGTCTTAGAAATAATAACTGTGTATCAGACAAACAGCGTTTCATCTTTGTGGCCAAAAAAAGATGAGATGTCCTAAGCAATAGTTAGACCCAATGTGTTGTAAAAACTGAATTAGCAGAGACAAGCAGACTGGATTCACAACAAACCAGCTCTAAAGATAATAGGTGAAGATACTGAAGAAACCCTGCAATGCTTAATTTGAGGACAACAACGCGAAACACGTTAGTCTGACAATTAAGTTGTTTTCTATACTAAAAGCTATAATTAAAAGAGTAATTGCATATAATGTTCATGGCTCATTTTGGGTGTAAATAAAAGTTACTTACTCACAAATTAGATAAAATGGATCTAACAGCTGTCAGCTATACTACCACATGGAACTTTGTCAAGTTGAATTTCCACTAGAAGTTTAGATAGTTTTGAACAAACACTACCAAAGATGGAGCCACCAGGTCTGGCAAGGTTGAAAAGGTAAATTCAAGCTTTTAACTGCCGGCGATGCCTTCTCCAACAGCAAGTGTGAGAATTCAGTCTTGCTTAAATACAAAAACTGTCAGAACAAACATCCAATCTTCAACCTCACTGACCCCCCACTTTCAGTACGTGATGCTGTTGAAACCCTCAAACATAATTTAACAAGTGTTTGTGGCAAAGTTTCCAAATGTACAAAATGTGCTGCTGATAAGGGAATGTGACAGGCATGTAGCATATTTCCATTTAATAAAATAGCGCAGCCACAAAAACATGAAGGGTATTGCACTCAAGTGTAAACAGCTTCAATGAAGAGCTGGAACAACTTGGTGCATAACACACACATATTTAAGCTACTCAGGGAAATATGATGGGAAAACTGGAATTTCTTTCAACTTAAACTTACAACCACTAAAAAACACAAAATTTCCAAGCATTTTCAGTGAGCAAAATTTTATTTTCCCTCTATTAACAAGTAGTCAATACAACATACAAAGACAATTCAACGCTGTGGAAATAAGTACTTGATTTTCCAGAGTATTTGAAAAAAGGGATACAAATGGAACAAACTCAACCTTGCTTTAAGACATCTCAAAAAACAAAGAAACTCAGTCACTACAATGTACAAGTTGGAAGAAAAGAGCTTTTTAACCATAACAGCACAAAAATAGCAAGAGCATTACTTGAAAACAGGTAAACAAATGAAGTGCAAGCACTTTTAAATATTATCTCTTAATTGCCAGTATATGCATTTTGTTTTCTCTTTTTTTTTTTTAAATCACAACATGACACCAAAAGTTAGATGACTCATATGGTTATTCTGGCTTATGTCTTTAAATCCAAAGATATTCTACATACATCTAATACACCCAGAAAACATGTGGAGTTTCAATTATACAAAACTGTTTTGTTTTTTTACAACATGAGAAAAGAGGTCTATAGGCACAAAAGGATTTAAAATGAAGGACTGTACATAATTGCAGGGTGTGCCTTAGGCCAGGAGGCGAACAGTCTTTCCAGTTACCGTCAAGTAATCCTCATCGGACAGGGCTCGCAGCGCCTCGTCGAACAGCTCCTTTGTGATTGCCTGAAACAAAGTGACAAAGAAGGAAGTCATTACAGGAAGTGGTGTTTAGAATTACTTTGGATTAATTCAATTTTATTACCAACATTGTAGTTAATGAAAAATTGCATACATTTAAAAAACAGACTTAACACAAATGTGAAGCTGTTAAAATATTTTAATTCCTAGAGCAATTTTACTGCTGAAAACTAGCTGGCCTGTATCTAATGAAGCATCAGTATCTTATATCAACGTTACGGCCTACAAGTGAAAGAACTCTACTCTTGTTCGGCCAAATCAGAAGCGAGGAGCGCACTTTTTAAGGAAATAAAACAAGACAATAATTGTCTTGAGTTGAAAATAAAATTTGGTACAATTTTTCTGAATTTTTTTTAAAGGAACACAATAAGGCTAAATAAAATATTTACAGTTTCAGACTGTCCCCTTAGTTCATCAAGCAGCTGTTGGTATTTCATGGCAGGTGTTTTCCCCTTCGCCTGGATCAGCTTCTTCAGGGCTTGGGCGGCCTCCTCCTTGCGCTTGCGAGCAGTGGCACTCATACCTGGAATCACAAATGAACACACTCAAAATACACCGGCTGCAACGAATGACTATTTTCATTATCAATGCATCTTCTGTTTATTTTTGTCTAAGCAATTGGTCTATAAAACAAAAGTAGCAGATTTGTGCATTTCAGAAGCTGGAAGCAGCGGATGTTTGTCATTATAGCTTTAAAAAAAACTGACCGAAACTACTGATTTATTATCAAGCAACTGTATGCTGCATCAATTTGTTGCTTCCTCAGTCTGCTGCTTTTTTGGGGGTTCACATAAAACTATAGAATAGAAAGAATATTTTTCATATTTAAAAATTAGCAGGGTTTAGCAGGCTTTCAGTATTAATTCAAATCAAGCAGTTAATTTTTATTCACGAGGCACCGTGTTGTGTACCTGTTGTGAGAATAGAGATGTCAACAAATCCTGTTCTGGGGTCAGTGGCCGACTGTTTGAGGGCCTCTCTGTGCAGCCGCTTGGCCTCCTCCACGTCGATGGTCTCCACCTTTTCAGAGAAGCGCACCTTGGCGTGCGCCTCTGCCAAGCGGATCAGGGACTCCAGCTGCCGGGGGTAGGCGGACACCATACCCCGGCCACTGCCTATCTTCCTCATGTCCACATAGGCCTGAGGACCAACATGCACAAGGTCAATTGAGGGCCAACATCATATTAATATTGCTTTACTGTTAACACTTAAAGACCAATGAGTGTGTGATTAGGCTAACCTTGCTGCAAATATTCAACATAATGTACATAAACTGTGGGAAAGACGAACCTCAATGAGGGCCTGGCTGGCTTCCTCATTCAGCCTTGGATTAATGTACGTTCGGGCATATGCAATGTAGTCCCTCAATACAGCCATGTCGAGGAACTCTTCCTCCATCTGCTCCTCACTCTGGTAGTACAGCGACACCAGGTGGTGGGCCAGCCTGCGGTCGTAAGCCTCATCTTGGGGATCCAGCATCAGGAAAATGAGGTCAAATCTGATGGAGGACGTTATGCAGTATTAAACAAAAAAAAACAAACAAGCAATGTGACAACTGAGAAACAAAAATCGTGAAAACGCATGGCATTAGGTTGGCTGTCAATTAGTCGCATTTGAAGAAGAAAAAATTGCTGGTCTTTATCAATGCTGTTTACCTGGGTTAAAAAAAAACAACAACATGCCTTTACTGACCAGTTTGCTTCATGCTTCATTTGAAAAAGATATGAATGATCAGCTGTTGCTCAGTTTAAACAATTAGAAAGCCAAAGGATGTGCTTGTATCGGCGTGACATTTAATCAGCAAGTGATAAATACAGGAGTACAGTAAAAAACAAAAATAAACCAGGCAACAGAGAGACTAGATATTCCTACAGTCACCCTTACCTGGACGGATTATGTCTTCTCTTTTCAAGCTCTAAGGTATTAAAAATAAGGGGATTGCCAAAGCCTATCGAATCTTTCTTTAAATGTAAAGTATTTAGTCAATCGGACACATTTTTAGTCGCTGGGACAGTGGTTTTCTTCCAATATGCGAGTATTAATTATTGCTGTAATGAAGAAAAAAGGTAACGGAGTTTCTGAGCTGAAGAAAGGTTAGTCTTCTATTAAAATGAGCAGAGGGTGATTAGTAAAGGATCTGCTCTAGATTAGAGGTAATTATTTAGAGACCGTGTGAAAAATGCAAAAAATGGTTCTGAGACTGTTCCTCATTTTACTGTATCAATCCATTATGCATGTTCTTTCTGATTAACCCACACTTTAGGCACAGGTGATGCGGCATCTGAGGACCTCATGCTGCTCTGAAAACTCACACTGTGCCAAAATGCTGATTTCCACCCTTCTTTCAGCTGATTAATGCTGCCAATTTGCAAGTTTACCAACCTTTCCAGCAACAGCGATACAGTCAGGTTTTTTTAGTGTGAATGTGCTGATTGATGGTATTCACCTGGACAGCAGTGTGTGAGGCAGCTGGATGTTCTCAATCGTGGTCTTTTTGGGGTTCCACTGAGATTCAACAGGGTTAGCGGCGGCCAGCACGGCGGTGCGAGCGTTCAGCTGGCAAATAATTCCAGCCTGCAGACAAAAAATTTTACAAAAGGGTGAGAATCACACTAATTGAGTTTTCCTGGTCTGCTGTTAAAAATTTGCCATAGCAACATACCTTGGCAATGGAAAGGGTCTGCTGCTCCATGACCTCATGCAGCACAGAGCGCGTACTGTCGCTCATCTTGTCAAACTCGTCGATGCAGCAGATGCCGTTGTCGCTCAGCACCAGAGCTCCTGTCTGCAGGACCAGCTGCCTGGTCTCCGGGTCCTTCATCACGTAGGCGGTGAGACCCACAGCACTGGAGCCCTTCCCCGACGTGTACTGTCCGCGGGGCACCAGGTTGTAGACGTACTGCAGCAGCTGGGACTTGCTGGTTCCGGGATCTCCGCACAGCAGGATGTTAACCTCTGCGCGGAAGTTGCCGCGGCCGGTCTGACTGAAGTCCTTGCGGGTGCCACCAAACAGCTGCAGCAAAATGCCCTGGAAACACCACACAGGGAAATAAAAGTCGCTGTCAAACTAATAATTCTATATTGTGTTTATTATTTAGAAGCAATATTTAATCTTGGAATACATCACTATAATAATACCGCGATTACAATACATCACCATTATCATAATATAATGTATTAATGACCTATCTTCATAGACTGAATAAAAAAATGTATTTCTTCTTTTTGTCTTGCCGAGATTCTCACAAGAGAAACTGTTTTCTTGTTGATTGCATGATGTCCTTTAATATATTTTGAAAAAGAACTCACTGCTATTGTACGTTCTTTAATGAACACGCTAAGCAGCTTTGTTTGGCTCTATGAAGTCAACTCTTAACGCAGCAGACTAAATAAGAAGGCTTTTATTATACCTTTTCTCCTCGCTCAGCCTCAGAAGGCCTGAAGAACCTTTCTGTCACCATTAAAAATCATATCTGATTCTGTCAAGACTGCACAGCTCTGATTCAAGCGATACATCATTGTACTTATGTTAACACCTTTATCTCATTATCTTAATTTGAGTACACACCTTTTTGCACATTGCTTGTTAATATCGGTATTTTTTTTATTTTTCCATTAGCATTACAGTATTGTAAAAAAAATTTTTTATCTCTTACTTTATCTAGATTTCTATATTTATGTTCTAAATCACCAATAAACCAAGGCAAATTCCTCATATGTGAAAATGTACCTGGCAATAAACCTCATTCTGATTCTAAACTAGATTTCTACTTAACCTTATTCTGACTTGCCATAGCTCACCAATGTGGAATGCTGTTGTAAAACAAAATGTCCACTGGTCTAAGCCCAGTAAGCCAGGATGCACCAGAGCCCTGAAACCTACGAGTCATTAATGTTATTAATTGCAACAACGATTTCTGTTAGCTTTTCTTAAAATGCATGTTGGGCATTAAATGCAATAAGAATGCTATTGGCAAATCCGTGTCACTGACAGTTTGTGTTGCTAACTGACGTGATTACTCTTGTTCCTGGGTGCTTCTACAGGTAAATGCTCATATTTTGGTGTGTCTCTCTCTCTCGCTCTCACACACACACACACCTTTTTGATGTCCTCATGCTCATAGATACTTGGCGCGAGGGCAGAGGAGAGGCGTTCATAGACGTCTGGCTTGGCGGCCAGTTCCTTCAGGGTCTGCACTCTGTCTTCAGTGAAGAGCTTCTGTTCGGTTTCCTCGTTCAAACCGTGCAGGCGCTTCTCGTCTGTCTTACGGAAGTGGATAGCGTCGATGTGAGTCTTGTACACAGACTTCACATTGCTCTGAAATGGGTTGACGCGCATGGGGACTGCTCTGTAGATACCTGCAGGGACATTTGAGAAGCTGTTAGGGCCTCTGCTGATGAGTGAAAACATGGACTGATTTATTGTCCTTGAACGTGCTCTAGAGAGCACATTAGTGTTGAGACAATAAGTCGACTGACAAAACACTGATTGCGAACTTTTATAGTTGATTAATCATTTAAAGGAAAAAAATACACTTGCAGGCTCTTAAATGTGAAGGATTTCTAAGTTTTATATTTCGTCAGCTTGGGATTTGATCAATTGTGCATTCTAAATTACATTTAGAGACAACATTAGAGCTGAAACGAGTAGTCTGTTGCCAGAAGGGCTCGATGCTTTTTTATCCATTTTAATATCACTGAATATTGAATATTTTGGGAGGAGAGGTTTTTTTTTTAGACCTAGAAAATAACAGGCAGATCAAATCGATAATGAAAATGCTCAGTTACAGGCCTAGCAGTAGAGATTTAGGAAATATTACCGGTGATGTTTATGCGGTCCCCAGGCTGCACTTTATCAACCAGGTCATTGTGAGCATAGACAATAGTTGTGTGAGGCGTCTGACCAGCGGGCATGTCTTCAGGAGACTCTTGAATTTTGATCTTAAAAAAAAACAAAAAACAAACCCAAGGTCAATAAATGAACAGATGTCACAAACTCAACATCAATAATTACCACATAACGTTATGAGATTTGGTGTCACTGACTGTAAGCAATCTGCCCCATTACCAACCCCTCAACCCCCCATCGAACTCTTACCATCTGTTTGTCTGAAAAGGCGGAGCGATTGTGAACGAGCGCCAGGCTGTGGGTGTTGTTGCAGTGACGACACACAGCCGGCTCAGCGATGCGCCCGCGATCCACCTCCACGCGGGTGCTGTAGGCGCACACCTGGCACTGGAAGAAAGCCTCTTGCATCTCAGGGATGAGCTGCGAGGTGCGGATCACCATGCCACTGATGGTGATCAGCTGATCGATGTCTGTGGAGGCAACACATAAGGCACAGAGAAGTTTTAGTCTGAAGCAGATACCTCACATTTTCTCAAAGCAAAGAACAAGATTCACAGAAATCCCACACTAAATATGGGATTGAACGGCTTGATACAGAAGTCCTGATAAGTGAGATTTTGTTTTGAATGCATCCTGAGACATGGGCTGGATTGATGAATCCACACACCTTCTGGGTTCAGGCTCCTCATGTTTCTGGTTTTCAAGGCGTTGTAGGGGCGGACTTGGATCTGGTACTCCAGGATGGAGTCTGGGGAAACGCTCAAAGAAAAGCTCGTTGACTGCCATGTCAAAGGTTGGGATGACTTCCTGCAAAGGGGACAAATTACTCCATTATTAGCATCACTATGCTGACAAACAGCCACTGGACATATAACATATAATTAACAAGGCAAAGACGCATAAAACATCCTGTAAATTAAGTGTGACAACAATAATCCCGCCAGTCAATTCCAACTGCATCTGGGACTGTAGCTTTTTCATGAATTCTCTAAGAAGGTATAATAAGCTACGGCCTCAGCCTACATGTTTGCTGCCAATCTCATTTTAATGTTGATTTATTGTCGTGCGGGTATTTAAACACTGTACATTTCTGTTCAGTTATAATTTATTTTAAGTTAAAAGACCAAAAATAAAAACATTGATGATTCACTTTATGTAAGATTGTTGCAAAATAGTTTTGGATCAATATGGTCCTAATTGACTTTGTAATGCACAAGGTGATGAAAATAAATGATAACATATGGGGCATTACCTGTGGGTAGCAGATGAGCTGCCTGTAAAGATCTGCATCAAATGACTGCACATGCAGACTATTCACATTCAGCACTGGATCACCGACAACACTGATCTGTCAGGGGAAAAATAAATATTAACATTTAAGTCTAATTTTAGTCAAAGTACAGATCAGCCTAAACAGAGCACAATGAAATAAACAGATAAATAAGTACACTACCTCTTCCAGCTTCTGCATGTATAAAGGCTCATTCAGGTCCAGACCAGCATTCTCATCTTCAGTGGAGGTTGGGTCAATGAACCTCTGCAGGAACCTCTGAAAGAAAAGTCATGCAAAGCATGCGAACAGTTAGCTCTTCCGTACTTACACCGAATGGAATATCTTGCAATAGCTGAAATGTAAGATTTCATACCTGAAACTTCTCCTTGCAGGTCCCTACATTGACATCAGTCCCCCAGATCACCAGTCTCTGGCCTGCGTTTGGCTCGCTGGCTACGGCACCATCTGCACTTGGCTACAGAACACAAAAAGTTTGTCATCCTTAATAACTTTAGTCTGAAAAGTATCGTGCTTTTTTGTCTTCTCCTGACTCAGGTAATCAACACCATCTAGATAACTCCTCCACTGACCGGCTCAGAGTGAAGATCGACTTGTGGAGCCTTCCTGACTGACCCCAGATCAGGGCGCTGTCTGGCCGGGGTGCCACGCACACTACTGCGTGGGGTCCCTTCAACCCTGGAGCTGGGGGTCCCATACATCAGCGGGGAGCTCATGTCCACTTCATTGGGTAGAACTGTTAAAGAGACACTTTTTTTTTTTAAAAACCACAATGCATTTAACCCAAGTGTGTCACAACAAAAGAAATGTCCTGCATTTCCTTCAGACAAGGCTAAAACAAACCAACGGTGTGTGTTAGTACCTGAGGGACGTGGGCTGGAGAGCAGAGAAGTGTCCTGAGGTGCCGCTGGGCTGAGCATGTCGGTGGCCGGGGAGGTGGGCATCGGCATCAGGTCCCCGGTGGAAGAGTCCTGGCCTCTGCGCCGCTGAGAGGGAGGCGAGGTGGGGCCCTCGCTGCTGGCTGAAGACACACAAGACATTTTAATAACAGTATATGAACAGCTACAATCATCTCAGTGGCACAGCAGCTGAAGTCATGAACTGCTGAGCAAAGGGGGTTCACTTCATTCAGGACACAAATAAATAAAACGAACATACGTGTGGGTGGGTTGCTGTTCCTTCCTCGTTTGCGGGCACCAGGAGTCGATGTTGGGGAAGACATTGTTGCTGAGATATCTAAAGATCAAATGGATTCATTTTTAGCCAAAAGAAAAGGCTGCCATAGTTTTTACTGCAGGGGAAATTAACCAAAAGTGCACCTTCTCTAGTAGGGCTTTTAGCATAACACGTTGTGGAACCACCTGCCAACTGACTTAAGAAAGCCAGGTAGGTCTGTCTGATTGTGGTTGTTTTCTGTTGGAGACCAGGGACGGATGATAGCCTCACTCTCGAATGTGCTGGAATTTGTGCAGCCACAAGATGTTACAAGGCGATTGACAGAGTCTTAAATGTTTTCCTGCCCTCCATGTTGTTGTATGTTAGGTTTTGTTTAGATTAGTCTGCTCAGCCTTGCAAGGCCCGGAGATAAAAAGAAGCTAATGCTTTTTTGTTCCATTTTCATACCCAAATACCTGCTCAGTATAATCCTCTTAATGACACCAAGATCTGATATGTTTGATACTTTCTAATTTATTCACCTGACAAATCTGAGGGCTCTGATGTTTAGTTAAACTGTATAAGTGTGGTTAAGTTCTTTATAATCCACAATGTTGTGTTATTTTATTGTAATAAACGTTGTCATATTCTGTGAACTGTTTGAATTATGTCATACACAAGTCCACTACTTAAACTCAATACAGTTTCTGGCTCCTCTCTGCAGATTCACACTTTCAATGAAAGGCAAACGAACTCGTTAAAGTAACTTACATAAAGTATAATGAAACAGTTTTCACTTCGCCAACCGTTAAAAAAATAAAATATCCACTTTACTTCAGAATAGCTTTTCAATACACTAACGTTATGCTGCTACCTCTTTATTTGTAACGTTACTGTTTAACGTTAATTATTATATATGCATTCTTTTTGCTACTTTTGATGGGATTAGGTCCGTTAACTTTTCCACCATCTGACATGTGGCTGCTGAGGAAACAATAAGTTGAACCTTGCCGAACTGTTTCACCCGATTTAACACTTAAAAGTCAGCGTGCAAATAAAATAACACGTTGATGCACAATCACAAAAAACATGTGTAATGGCAGAAACGCTGATTCAATCAAGATAATCAATAAGATAATAAGAAATTACTGATTTTGATAAAGTCCGTTCTTACCTCTTCTCGTGTGTATGTCCGAGTGCTGCAGATGTGGCGCGAAACAGCGGGTGACGTAATTTTCGCGGGGAACTTTGGACCAATAGCAGGCCAGGATCTTCTGGTCTTTCCGGCCTGTTCCTTCACTGCAGAGGGGGGGTTCATGTTGAGCTTCACTCACTGCGACTTTCATTAAACATAATAACATGTCTTAATATATTAAAATTGTTTCAAATAAAAACGAAACTACACGTATATCTCGATATTATATCCAAAATACGATTTACATTTCCTGCGCGTGATATTATGCTTACAGATACCCTGAGTTGATTTGGTTTGGTCCAACACTAAATTACCTTTTTTTCATCTCTTCCCTTACTTTATTTAAACAGTTCACAATAGCAAAACATGAAAAAAATAACTAAAGAACTAAGTATAGGAAATTAATTATTACATATAAATATAAATACACGAATAAAAAAGAAACACAATTATTTGCATTGCTAAAAGGATAATATATATATTGTCTTATCTCATCGTAGTGCAATCATCTTTACATGTATTCTTTAACAATTTGGCTTGAAAATGAATAGTTTTCGACTAATGAGTTTGAAACTTTCCAAGAAGGAACAAATGTTTGATTATACTAGAAACAAATAAATATCTATCCAGAAGTGTAAGTCCGCTTTGTCGCAAAACGAGCCGTATTTAATAACACCTGATAATGATCTATTAATGGATTTCAGTGCGTATATTTGGTGATCCATGGGGGTTAACAGGGAAGATGCGACTTTAGCCTGCAGGTACGTTCACTGACCACCAAGTGGCGCAGTTTTCCTTTCAAAAATGCCGTTGACGTTGGAAAAGTACATCACACTTCCTTTGGGGAAAACATAGGAGAGTTTCCGAGAAGTGATACGCGCCCTTCATTTGAGGGGGCGTTTTAAAGATATGATTACCATCAAGATTTTTTCCCTCACGTTAGAAAGTAAGTGCAATAAAAAAGGTACCTACAGAATATTTTATATCAACAGGTGCCACATGGAGAGTGAATTCACTGTGTTTTATACAGAATGAATGTGTGCATATCTATCATCACATATTATTGTAATGTAAGTGTTGTGATGTTAATAACTTGTGAAGACAGGGTAAAATAAGGGTTTTCATGATGTAAACGTCAATGTATATAGCCTACAACATACATAGCCTACACTTGATTTTTTAGTCTATAAACCACCTCTGTATAACTTTATATCCACACAACATCCATATACCTGCATTCTTACAACTATCTGTGCCATAACGTCCTATATTTAGTACACAGTAATAATTTGACCTGTATACTGTAGATTGTCAACGGCACTGTCGCTGCACAGAAGAAGGTTGTGGGTTCAAACCCCGGTTGCCCTGGCCTTTCTGTTTGGAGTTTTCTCCAGGTGCTCCGGCTTCCTCCCACCATCCACAGACATGCAGGCTAGGTTAACTGGTGTCTCTAGGTGTAAACGTGAGTGGTTGTTTGTCTATGTGTGACCTGGCGACCTATCCAGGGTGTACCCTGCCTTTCTCCCAATGTAAGCTGGCAAATACTAGGGTCCATTGATGGAACAATTAAATCGATTAGCCTATAAAAATACATGCAAATTTACAGTATTTCCTGTCACTCGTCTAACAAATTAATAATTTCAGTTCCAGTTTGAAGACAAAAAAGGGGGAATATTGTCTTTGTTTTGGGTGGTTTTCCCTCTACAGCAACATTTTTACCACATGCTATTCTGTACATTGGACCACTTTTGGGACAGATGCTGATGGACCTGGAGATGGACGACAAATTAATTTGAATCCCAAGTTATATATAAACAGCACAAGTAATAGAAAGCATTACCAAAATCTTATAGAAGCTGAATGTATGGCCCAACCACACTCTTAAGCTATAATGTGGATAATATGCTCTATATTGTTGGTACAAGCCTAGTAGATACTGTATATTGTATACATGTACTGTATACGGTATATTGTCTTGTGTTGGCATGGCATACACACAGTAAATACCAGGTTATGCTAATATTTTTATACTACCTTTCGCTTTTGTGAATTGTCACATATCTTCTATCAGAATGATCTATAAATTATGGATGTGTGAAGGAGTGATGGCAGCCTAGAAATGGGTAGTTGCTGTTCTGGTGGTTTTCCCTCCACTCCAACACTTTTATCACACACCATTTTGTATTCTTAAGCACTTTTGAGACTAGTACAAATGTGAGGTACTTGTAGGCCTACTTCACATAAGTATTTCCATTTCCTGCTACTTCTTACTTCACTACTTTTCAGATTGAAATATTGTACTTTTTTCTCCACTGCCTTTATATTGCAGCCAGTTATTTATTACTTTTCAGATCCAATGTCTACATTAAAGTATTGCTTACACGCTTGATAGATTATTAATAAAGGTCCAGTACTTTTGATACTTTTGTTGAGTTTAAGTTGCTACTTTTATGAAATAAATGATCTGAATACTTCCCCCGTCACTGTTTGAGAGAGACACTCACAGGGACTTAAACTTAATCCCAAACACAGCCTACAGTATGTCAACAACTCTGAATCATTCATACAACCGTAGTAAAAAAAAGTGGGTGGCATGAGCAACACGCCCCTCTGCGCTCAAATGGGAAGTTAACGGGCACCACGTGACCATCCTGTTGCCTTGACTGGCTCGTGAGCGGGCGGTGCGTGTGACGTCAGCGCAGGGAAACGATACAAAACTCTCCGCGAAAGTACAGACGCGTCAGAGTAGTGACAAGGAGAGATTCGGTACTGTCAGTGACAGGACCCTGACAGTTAACACCCAGGGATCAAAATCCTGATCAGATTTTAAAAAGGGGAGAAAGGCGCCTGCAGAGAAAAGTGAAGCCACTGCAGGATTGCTGTGTGCAGAGATTGGTCACACCTGTGGGTTATTTTTTAACAACTTTTTCCTCCCTAAACCACGTGGACCAGTCACCAGGGTTAATGTGTGACAAATACAGCCTGGACTTTCACTGCGTGTCTCCACAATGCAACATGAGTTGGGCGATGGAGCCTGCTAACTTCTATGAGAGTGTCAAGCTGGGCGGCCCACACCAGGGGGTCTGCAAGCCGGGCAGCAGGAGCGACGGCGCGGGCGAGGACGGCACCATGGTGGAGCTGAGCACCGCCCCTGCCATGTACGACGATGAGAGTGCCATCGACTTCAGCCAGTACATCGAGTCCATGACAGCCGTGCCAAACCTGGAGCTGTGCAACGACGAGCTCTTCCTCGACCTGTTCAACACTGTGAAGCAGGAGAAGGTGGATTTCTACAATATGCAGAGCTCCGTGCAGCAGCTGTCAGCCACATACGCAGCGGAGAGGAAGGCGGACAGCGGGCTGGATAAGGGGGCGTTTAGTGCGCCCATCAAGCAGGAGTCCGACTGGAGTGACAGCGACATGTCCTCATCCCTGCCTTCCCAGATCGAGTCCTGCGCCCAGACCTCTGTCAGCCTCCCTACAGGGCAGCCAACTCCCCCCACCACCCCGGAGCCTGTCTCCAATGTAAGCTCGGCCAAATCCTCCCCGCGGAAGATCGGGAGGGAAAAGGGGAAGAAGACGGTAGACCGGTACAGCATGGAGTACCGACAGAGGCGGGAGAGGAATAACATTGCAGTGAGAAAAAGCAGGGACAAAGCCAAGATGCGAAACTTGGAGATGCAGCAGAAGCTGCTTGAACTGGGCTCTGAAAACGATAGGCTTCATAAAACTATCGAGCAGCTAACCAGAGAGCTCAGCGGGCTGAGAGAGTTCTTCAAGCAGATGCCAAACTCCTCCTTTGCAGGCTCCTCGAGTGCAGAGAGCCGGTGACAAACTCATTACCCTATGAACTGAGCTTTTTGGAGACATACCTCAACAGACATTTCGTTTTTTTACCATCTGTACCAGATGTATTAAGCTTACCATAATGGCACTGGAAAATATGATGTTGCTGCCATATTTTTGTGGGATTTTCTGTATTAAATTATTTTACCACTGCATTTATATGATGCTATACCTGAAATGGTACATGTTTTATAATTCCAAACTTTGTATAAGAGCCAGAGCATGATCTTTTATATAGTTTGTATGAAACCTTGAAAACATTTTGTTTATGGAATCTATAATAAAATTGCTTTAAAGGTGCAGAAATATCCTGGTCTGTGAGTAGTCTTTTGCATATAATGGTCAATGAACTGTATGCTGAGAGAGCAGCTGGAGTGTGTTTTCACAAGAAGTGCAACAGGAAACAGAAAGTAAAGTCAGCAGAAATACAAACTTTTATTGACAGTGTAAGAAATCTTAAAAGACAGAGGTAGATGAGTTTGGAAAAAATATCCATCCCAGTTGATGAACCACGTGGGCTGCTTTGACAGACACCCTTGGACTGTCAACTCCTGCTCCACAAGATCACATATCATTAACACAAACAAGACCTTGTGTTCTTGCAGCCCGTTCACTTCACCACAGCCTCAAGCTGTCAGGGAGGCCTTCAAAGGGGGGAGAGCAGGCTAATCTGGCTCAGACCAAGGCCTGGTGTGCAGAACCTTGGAGCCAGCTGAGGCCAGAGGAATGATATCATTAGCTACTTGCCCCGACAGCCTCAGAGGCAAATGTCTTGCAGGCATATTTCTTCCAGGCCGATCCAGAGGGCAGGTTTCCTGCTGACGACACGGACGTAAACGGCGAGAGGCCCCACCTCTTTTCCCAGGACATTCTCCACATCGTAACCTGGGAACTGAGACATTAAAAAAAAAACTCACATGTGCAACACTGAAACATACAACATCCCATCTTATTTACTATGTGTTGGAACCAGTTTAGGCTCACATCTCCCCTTAAAATCTTCCTCCACTACCTGCACATGTAAAAAACAAATTATTTATAGTTGTTTTAATCTTATGATGTTGCAAGAATATCTGAGTGCACTTAAGGCCCTGACCTTTGCACACTGGTCAGCAGTATTTGTTGATATAACAATTTATTCTGCACTCATGAGCTCCCCTGGTAAACCAGATTAATGCATGCACAGTGTATGTGCAAGACTATGAACATCTCTGCCACCTGTAGGTTAAACAGGAAATGAATTATAATATTCTCAGTGCAAAAACTGCATGCAAAATTAAAGTAATCACTAAGTATAAGAGGTGGTGGAAGATTACATCAGTAATTTGGCAGCAAATTCCTTCAACAGTATCAATGACCTGCATGACTCAGATTTATTTTGATGGGTTTTATCAGTCTGACATGAACAGATGACAGTCAGGACATATTGACAGAAGATCAATACGCTGTGTAGTTTAGCCCAGAGTGATCTAACAGGTTGTAAAAGCAAACCTACCTCATTACCCTCCAGGGCTGCAGTGTTTAGGAGGGACATGATTGTCTTTTGCTGCAGCTGTCGGAGAGATGAAAAGGTGTGGAACCATTAATGTCTTTTTAATCAGCATCCTAAAATAAAAAGCATATACCACACTAACATACTGTGGTTGCCGGTGAGTAACAGACTAGACTAGAAAGGGTTCAAATACCAGTTGGCTGATAAGAAGAACATGGATAATATTATCAGTCTGATTAAAGTCACAGCAGGTTTTCCATAATAAAAATGCCACTATGCACAAAGAGTGAAGGATTTTATTTATGTTAAAAAATTATACTTAAAGCTTAAAGCAAAGGTTCAGCATTTTTGGGGAAAATGCTTGTTGAGTTTCTTGCCAAGAATTAGATTAGAAGATCAATACCAGTCTTGTGTCTGTCAGGTAAATATGAAGCTACAACCAGCAGGCGCTTGGCTCAGGCAGCCTGACTCTGTCCAAAAGTAATACAATCCACCTACCAACACCTCTAAAGCCTGGAAAACCAGTTTAGACTCCAGGAAGTGATTGGTCCCAACCAAGAAATAGTCTGACAAATCACCTCCCGTAAAAGGGAACATCATCACTTTTACGCTTTGACTTTTGTACCGATTAAACAAATGAGATACAACATGTTAAGACACTTTAGACGTGCTGGTAGATGTTTTTTTTTAAAGCAAGGATAATGGCTGCTGACTTCAACTATTTACTCGGCAAAAGAAGCAAATAAATGTATTTCTCAAAATGTTTAACCATACTTTTAAATACACGCAAGTTACACAGTGTAGCCCAAAAACATTTAGACTTTTGAAACTTGATTCACCACACAGGGGACATCAAGATATTGGTACTGGAACCCAAACCCAAGAACATTGTTCTCACCTTAACCTTCAAAGTGCAATTACTTAATGAAGAACTCAATAACACTTCCAGTTGAATCTTTGTGTTTGGCTTGTCCACCACTGACTTACAAGAAACACAGTGGAAGTTTGGACTGTGGAAATAAAAAATAATAATAAAGTCACGATTTGCTGTGATGTTTAATATTAAGCTATTTTAAATAAACCTGAGGACTTACGGTCTTTCAGCTAACATCTCTAAGTTATCACATCCACAATGGTTGCAGGCAGGCCAGGAATAAGCAGTGCTCTCATCCACACCAATTATCACCCCTGCAGGCAGAAATTTTGTTCAAATGTAATAACACACAAAATCATCTTTGGGAAACATCCATGCACACCGTAACTATAGTTCACTCTGTATTGAGAACAAGAATATTTTTTAATTATTCATTTTATTTACATCTCAAATGGTGGATGCCAAAGGAAAAAAACACTGACACCGATATATGATCTACACATAGGTTTGTGTGAGTGTGTTTGTGACAGGGTGTAAGAGATAAACACATCCCTTTCATTCTTATCTGAGATTGCCATGATAAATGCAGTGCAGCAGAGTACTCCCTGCCTAAACACCATGTCACTTAACAACCATAGCTGCTGCACCACAAACACAAACACGGGACCTTAAATAAGATACTGAATTTTACACTGATAAATCCGTTCTCATACATTTCCGGTCTGAGCCTTTTTCCACTGGTAATTTCCAGAAGATAGTATTTGCACACGAGTGCAAAAGATAATAAGTTTGTTTTATTTTTTTTCCGCCACCTGACCAAACATGTACAGCCAGAGGGGCCTGAAACAAGAGGGTTCACAGTTTGATCTTTGCCCTCAAATGGAACACGGAGTCAACTAAATCAGGTTACTTTCGGATTTAGGATTTTCTGCACCACATTTAGATAATAGAAAATGAGGTTGAAAAAAGCAGAAAAGCCGTTATTTTTATTTTAACAGTGGCAATTCATGGCAATCATATTTGAAGATAGAAATTCTTAAAAAGCTTAAAAATATCAAGAAACATGCAAACTGATTGTATGTAATAGAGCTTTTGTGGAAACAATGCTATGTTTCTTCAAGCTGTAACTATTTTCTCAACATTGTTGCACTCTCATGTGTAATATAAAGCCTTATGGGGAGCAGGCATGTTAATTTTACTCAAAACTGACATGGGAATTGACATGAATCCAACAAAATGTCATGTGTTCATATTTCACAAAGTTCCAAACAATGACAGCCTGAGGACACTGAATAACAAACAGCAGAACGCAGAGCCTTGAAGCCACATGAAGGCCTCTCGCAGAGCTGTAAACTTGTATATGAAAAAACAAGTGGTTTTCTTCCCCCGAGAAAACAACAAAACGGGCATGTTCTGCAGGAATCACTTGAGATGAAGCGAGTTACAGGAAAACCACAGGACTTGGTGAAAGAGAGAAACTGACCTGTTAGAGAGCAGAGGCAGTTGGGTGTGATCTCAGGACTCAGGGGATCCAGTCTCACAGGTTGGGGCAGGCTCTTTGCCTGGGGCTCGGACAGCAACGGTGAAAGTGACTCTGGCCTGGCTGAGGACTCAGGGTTGCCCTCGGGATCCACGGAGCACATCTCAACAACTGACTGCTCCACACACAGGAGAACACCTGGTTTCGGAAGTTTTTGAATTGAAATGTATATGCAAAGGAAACAGGCATAAAAAACAAAAACTACTAAAGTATCAGAAGTTAAAGTTCCCCAACTTTTCAAAATTCCACAGAAAAATGTCAACTATGACTGCTATATTAGATTGTTAATACTGTTGTAGTTGGTCGAGGTGGAGCTAGGTTCAACTGCTTTCAGTTCAGTCCAGGGGTTCCCAACATCGGTATCGGTCATGAGATCATTAATGGAGAATGAAATATTGAATAAACTCACATCTTTGGGACTCAGTTATTTAAATGGCAGAATCTTATAGAGACATTTAAAGGGAAAATCCAGCACATTTTATGTGGATGTCCAATCAGTGCTGATGGTAAATGCAGTCCATTAAATCAATAAATTCCTCAGTGAATGCTATACTGACAGAGAAAGCTGAGTTTACCATGTAGTTCTTCCTGCATCCAGCACAATCATTTGACATGAAGGTGACGTAGTTAGCGGCATGGAAAAACTACTGGCTGCTTCAGTTTGGATTTCTAGCTTGTAGATGCCATTCTCTCCACTTGTATTGCAAACTAGCTACGTTTCCAACAGCAAAAATGGCATCCCAAAATATGAGTGCAGAGGATATTATGAACGAGGATACATTTTACAAAGTTTCGGCTGACTCAGATATTCACCCAGAGAAGAAAGGCAGCGGAGAGAGGCTGCTGTTGTAGTTGAAGCCATGCAAGAGGATATGGCCGGCGGGGACCCTTCAGAACCAAGGGCTAACACAAACTGGTGGTGCCCTAGCTCAAATTGCCATTTGATGCCAACAGAATCATTCTGCTACATTGAATTTCAGCCTGGGCAGTTTTTGTTGGATGCTTTCATGGACGGCAAAACTTGAAAGAGTGTTTGTTACTATGAATGAAAGTATTACTCCTCACTTGGACAGAGGTGTACTACAAACCTTCAGCAGGACTCTCAGAGGCTGGGGCGATGTTGGACTAATTTTGTAAATTCTGAAGGAGAGTCAAGAGAAACTATTTGAATGTTAAGGCTTTGAAGGTCTGAGTACTCATTCCACTACTGCAAGTAGCTAGGAACTATGGTTGTCAGATAAATGAAGTGGAATAATAAGTACAATATTTTCCTCATAAATGTATTAATGTAGAAAGATAAAGTAGCTGAAAATAGAAATAGCAAAGTATTTACTCATACATTTAATCAAGTACCTCAGAATTGTTGCATAAATGTACTTCCTACCACCGTACTACTTTCTACCACTGTTTGGGTGACTTGAGACCACAGTCGTATAAGATAAATCACCTAATGAATAGGGGTTGAATGGCATGTCAGGTCACAATAAAGCTCTACCATGTTCTTTGATGGCATCTCTGAATGACATGCGACAGGCGGCGGGGGAATTTAGAGCTTCGAGGACAGAGGAAGTGAGCACACAGGAAGTGTTCACACATAGGGCCACTGTTCGTCTGCATGGCCTCTCGGGCTGCTCCTCTTGAAGACTGGGGTCCGTCAGCACCAACCAAACCTCACCCTGGCCTATATCACTTCTCTGAAATAGAAACAGAAATGCAGACAAAGACAGAAAAAAAAACAGGATTACTGAGAAACAAGCACACAGAATGACCTAGAAAGAAACAACCAAAAGGAAATAATACATAGCTAATGCTTACTTAGCACAAATTACATGCAAATCTTCTGTTTTAGAATCACCTGAAAACAGCTTTAACGAGATCATTCATTCAACAGGCTACACACAATGCTGGTTACTAGTACTACAATGTTAAAAAGTGTATCTGCATTTCAGTGGTGTGAGCATGTGGCAAAGTCCACCACTTTGTTCTGAGCTGTTATCTCATCTTGGTCAAAGTTTAAAGGTCTCACCAATCAATGGTAAAGAACGCCTCTGCCTCACACAGATTGTCATACACACAGTGATATGAACGCAGCTCACGTCAGAGCTCAATCTTATCAGTTTGTTGGTTCAAATGATCTCAAAGGATGACTAACGAGCTCCACAAGACACAGTATTTATTATGTTCTTCTGACTAAAGTCAAATGAAATCTGTATTTTTTCAGGAATAACAAAAAAAGACAGAAGTACCTGCATTATTCTTTTGTATAGAACAGTGGCAACAAAACTGCAGCGGCAGATTTTAAGATCACTCTGATAAAGAGAGAGAGAGAGAGAGAAAAAAAACAGGTTTGAGAACAACCTACTGAAGATAAGTTATCACGACCTGCAGCAAATTTTTTGAATGTTCTCAGTGTGTGTGAGACTTTTCACCTGCAGCACTTCTCGTAAGGTTTGTTTTGTGTAGGGAAGGTAAAGTGGGGACATAGTCTGCCCTTCACTGTGTTCAACTGAGCTCTCTTGACCAGACAGCAGGTAGCAGAAACTCGGAGCTGGACCTGTAGGTCTACATTCCTATAAAAACAAGACCTGTGTGAATAGAACTTTCATTTTTAAGAAAATATATTTACTCACTCAGGAAAATAGTCAGCACATTAATGGATTAATGGATAATGAAAATAATTCCCAATCCAAGCATTAGGTGAAGATACATGATTCTTGCTATGGTAAGAACTTACACTGGACCTACTGGGTGTGTTACCATGATCTTTAAGAGGCGTCTCTGGGGGCCACAAACTGTCTATCAAACTGAAAAGCCTGGTGCTCCTGAGAGTGAGACACAAAAAAGGGGGAAAAATAGTAAGGGTGTGGGGGTGGGTGGGTTAGTGAAAAAGGGACTTCAACAGCAAGATAGAAAGCTTTCACAGCCAGTTTCACTTCCACTGAAACACAAATCTGTTAAGACAGAGATCGTCTCAACGTCACCTAGAATTAACAGAGAGCATGCTTGGGCTGGCAGAGCAGATAGACACAAAAACTGTTTTTACAAGCAGGTTTTGAGATACTAAATGGTGGGAAAACAGTTCACACCCTAGTTTACAAATCACAATAACACTGTGGTGCAAAAAAAAACAAGGTTTAGAAAACCAATTACAGGGTGATTTCAACAGCCGCATTTCTAATGCTTGATTAGTGACATTTGCCTTCTCTCACCACATTATTAACCCAAGTAATGACAGATGAGACCATAGTCGATGCGGTTTTATGATGCTTCGTGTACGTCAAACTGATACGGGAAGAACGGATTAAATAATAAAAAAGGGGACAAAACATCAAGTAGCAACTCCAACAGGACACGTCAATCTCTTGATTCATTGTCTCGTTTCTAAGAAGTACTTGTTGAGTTCAGGGTGGCCGGTCAATGTTACTTATTCATCTGTGTGAGCTGTCATATCAGCCAGTGCTTAACAACCTGTTAGTCAGACTGTAATCACAGGCTTTCTTTGTGTGGAACTGGTTCTGCAGCCCATTCAAGTTCAGTGAAGCCTGCTCAAGGATGAGTAACGACAAAACTAGCAGGACTTATTCAACTCATTGTGAATTTGATACAGAGCTTATATGTGCATTAACGTTTAGGTGACCTATTATGTATTCCCTTATTTTCTGTCACAAGTATAATGTTACAATGTTGGATGTTCATACGAAACATGGCAAGTTTCAAATAATGAGGTAAACATATGGAAATGTAATTCATGTGAGCAAAACTGCTCTGAATACTAGGATTCCAACATTTTTTCTACTTTCCTGTCTAGCTGAAGTCATCTACTCATGATCTGCTCCAGGCACAGCAAGCCCACCAAGTACAGGCACGCCCATCCACCTGCTCAGTCCTTGAGTTTGGTATTTGGCAGTCACCGTCTTGTTTTTTAGGAACCAGAAGTGACCATATTTGGACGAGAGTGTGGAGCTCAGAAGGGATACGCCCAGCTACGCCTGACAGGTCACCGCGGCATTCTCTTGTCAATCACAAGGTAGACACGCCCTAAAGCATACCCTGCATAATCGTCTATTTTACTAATTAATTAAATGAGACCATAATTTACTAAATGAACATGTTGTATTGAAGAAGGCTTTAAACTAGCGACTGCGACCATAAACTCATTGGGAAAGTGATTAGTAATAAGTCAGGTGAGAAGTAGGGTCATTTTGTCATAGACTACAATGCAATCTGACTTCTTTTTGCAACCAGTGGAGTCGCCCCCTGTTGGCCATTTGAAATAATGCAAGGTATAAGGCAATTCTGCATTTGCTTCACTTTTCAGAGCCAGAGGTACCCCTTGGTACCTTCACCAGCCCCCAGAAACACTCCGCTCCAGCTGCATTTACCATTTTACCAACCTACTTCTCATCTTGTTTGTTTCTCAAGTTAAGTAAAAGCTGTGTTATGCCATTGAGCACACCGGCGAGAGGATGAGGAAGTTGACCAATGGGAAGTTGATCAATCAGAAGAAAGTGTGCTTTTAGGCAGGGGGGCTTAAAGAGACAAGCGCTAAAATGGCTTATTTCAGACAGAGGAAGAACTGAGGTGCTGCATAAAGGGCCAGTACAAGATAAATACAGATTTTCTTTTAACTGTAAATCATGACAAGCTACTGTGTTTATAAATCCCACACCCCTCAAAGATTGACTGTGTTAAATAAATAGTTCAACATCTCTGGAAATATGCTCATTTTCCTTACAAAATCCGCTTGCTAGTATCTCTAAAGGTCACTATTTAACATGTTATGTCTTGTTGGTTTAATCTGTACAAAAAACAACAAAATGTGGCTTAACATGGGGTTCATATCCGGGACTCTTTCATGGCTGGGAACAGTGACTTCCTGAAGTCTTGTCATCACACTGAAGTTAATTAGTGAGCTTTAGAGGTGCTGGAATGTATTTTTTTAACCTTTACACAGAGCCAGGCTAGCTGTTTTCCCCCTGCTTCCAGTCATTACGTTAAGCAAACAGTCTCCTGGCTGTCATATTTACAATACAGATGCAAGAGTGGTATCGATCTTCTCATCTAACTCTCAGCAAAAAGCAAATATATCAAAATGTCAAACTATTCCTTTAAGGTAAAGATTATTATTATATTGTCAGAAGTCTAATAAATGTACTGGTTCAACGAAACTGGGAAAAAAAATGACTGCCTAATTTATCCCAACCAGGCCCACATGTTTTTCTACTTGAGCTAATAAGATGGCCCACGTGCGAGAACAGAAGACAGCCCATTCATCATAATCTGACCACAGACAACCTCCAGAGACATTATAGGCTGCGGTGGTACTGAAATTCCAAGGATGTAAACATACCCCCAGCCGGTCTCTAAATGTTCCCATGTCAGTTCTTCTAACTGCTTCTAATCTGGGATCCTGACTATGGAAACTCACAAGGGACACAGAGCATGCAGCTCAGTATCACTTTACATGTAAACAAAGTGGCACTGCTGGCAGGACAGCATAATCAGGTTCACATGAGATGCAAACATTACATTGTCATTGCATTGTAAATGTGGGTTTTGATGTTCAAGATAGGCATTCGAGGATAACAATGGAGAACTTGCTGTGGTTTTGAATATTGGAGATTCCCCCATAAGGCACTAAAACCAAGATGTGGGATGGTTTAGCTTGAATGTCAGTGCCTCTATAGCACAAGGGCCTGAGACTACTTTATTAGCATTTCATATCAGGACCTGTCAATCACAGGCATTTACCCAGGCTGCTGTCCCATAAGGATAAGGATTGAGATAAGATAACCTCTCATACAGCAGAAATCCATATCACAAAATGACATTGGTCAGAGGTTGAAGTTACCCATGATAGTGAAATAAAATTCAGGTGAAAAGCTACCCAGGCCTAGTGCGACGTGTACAGAACAGAGTGTGGGTCTCACCTTTCTCGAGTGACCCGCTGCACCACTTTAATGCCTCTCAGCACACAAGTCCTCCCCTGCCACATGTGGCAGTAACGGTGGAGGTCATCTGTGCAGGGCAGGAGGTGGAGCTGGACCACACTGAACATCCCGTAGCTATCCTGGACAAGCACACAGAGCCTGGGAAATAAACAAAATGCAGGACTGGTTTGATATACTGATTTTAATCATATTAAAGACAAAGTAAAACAAAAGAATACTATTCCCAAATTTTGATCACGCCTGTCTGTGTTAATTCTTCTCTTGTTAAATTCAAAATGTGTGTCATAATTTTTGAGCATTTTTATATGACAATCCTTCACTTCACTTGCCCTGTTAAAACATTATTGAATAAACTGTGATCCGGGGGAGACTAGCCCACCGCGCCCATCATGTAAACACACACTTGACCGTTAGCATGTGATTCGCAGCAGCCAGGGTGATAGAGAGAGGCAGTGGTAATAGCTAGCAAAGCAATATCATAGTAGAAGATGTATGTTTGGATATTAAAAAACCCCCACCAAATTTATTAATTTCTCCCTCATCCTCCACCTCCTGATCTAACAACACAGGTTAGTAGGGTTAGACGGCCACTCCCACTTTGGGTAATTTAAATCCCATTCATAAATAAACCCCTCCCACTTATTCGGTTCATACTGCTGCTGCAAAATACACCTCCACCTCCTTCTGTTTTACTGTGATTTTAAATTTAGATAAATTAAGGGTTTGCGCTTCTTTTTTCCCCCCAAAGTTACCAAGCAGCTGCTGCTCAATGGCTGCACCTGTACATTACTGAGGATGTGCACACTATCCAATTTTTTATATTTCTAATAGGCAGCCTCTTGAGTAACTCTTAATCAATCAGTCAATAACCAATAATTAAATGGCTCAACTCCAAGGATATACAGTGGGTACGGAAAGTATTCAGACCCCTTTAAATTTTTCACTCTTTGTTTCATTGCAGCCATTTTCCAAAAATCAAAAAAGTTCATTTTTTCTCATTTCTCAGTAATGTACACTCAGCACCCCATCTTGACAGAAAAAAAAGAGAAATGTAGAAATTTTTGCAAAATTATTAAAAAAGAAAAACTGAAATATCACATGGTCATAAGTATTCAGACCCTTTGCTCAGTATTTAGTAGAAGCACCCTTTTGATCTAATACAGCCATGAGTCGTTTTGGGAAAGATGCACAAGTTTTTCACATCTGGATTTGGGTATCCTCTGCCATTCCTCCTTGCAGATCCTCTCCAGTTCTGTCAGGTTGGATGGTAAACGTTGGTGGACAGCCATTTTCAGGTCTCTCCAGAGATGCTCAATTGGGTTTAAGTCAGGGCTCTGGCTGGGCCATTCAAGAACAGCCACGGAGTTGTTGTGAAGCCACTCCTTCGTTATTTTAGCGGTGTGCTTAGGGTCATTGTCTTGTTGGAAGGTAAACCTTCGGCCCAGTCTGAGGTCCAGAGCACTCTGGAAAAGGTTTTCGTCCAGGATATCCCTGTACTTGGCCGCATTCATCTTTCCCTCGATTGCAACCAGTCGTCCTGTCCCTGCAGCTGAAAAACACCCCCACAGCATGATGCTGCCACCACCATGCTTCACTGTTGAGACTGTATTGGACAGGTGATGAGCAGTGCCTGGTTTTCTCCACACATACCGCTTAGAATTAAGGCCAAAAAGTTCTATCTTGGTCTCATCAGACCAGAGGATCTTATTTATCACCATCTTGGAGTCCTTCAGGTGTTTTTTAGCAAACTCCATGCGGGCTTTCATGTGTCTTGCACTGAGGAGAGGCTTCCGTCGGGCCACTCTGCCATAAAGCCCCGACTGGTGGATTGCTGCAGTGATGGTTGACTTACTATAACTTTCTCCCATCTCCCGACTGCATCTCTGGAGCTCAGCCACAGTGACCTTTGGGTTCTTCTTTACCTCTCTCACCAATGCTCTTCTCCCCCGATAGCTCAGTTTGGCCGGACGGCCAGCTCTAGGAAGGGTTCTGGTCGTCCCAAACGTCTTCCATTTGAGGATTATGGAGGCCACTGTGCTCTTAGGAACCTTAAGTGCAGCAGAAATTTTTTTGTAACCTTGGCCAGATCTGTGCCTTGCCACAATTCTGTCTCTGAGCTCTTCAGGCAGTTCCTTTGACCTCATGATTCTCATTTGCTCTGACATGCACTGTGAGCTGTAAGGTCTTATATAGACAGGTGTGTGGCTTTCCTAATCAAGTCCAATCAGTATAATCAAACACAGCTGGACTCAAATGAAGGTGTAGAACCATCTCAAGGATGATCAGAAGAAATAGACAGCACCTGAGTTAAATATGAGTGTCACGGCAAAGGGTCTGAATACTTATGACCATGTGATATTTCAGTTTTTCTTTTTTAATAAATTTGCAAAAATTTCTACATTTCTGTTTTTTTCTGTCAAGATGGGGTGCTGAGTGTACATTACTGAGAAATAAAATGAATGTTTTTTGGAAAATGGCTGCAATGAAGCAAAGAGTGAAAAATTTAAAGGGGTCTGAATACTTTCCGTACCCACTGTATGTTGAAATACTATTGTAAAAATCTGTTTCACCCAAAATTATGTGCCATTTTCCAATTAAGCATTTATAGAAATGAAACACCATTGTTCTCAGTGACACACCAACAATACCTAACAAAGCCTTTAGGTTTAGTACTGACATTTGAAAGTGTTGCTGCTGCCGGCTGGTTTGACAGGTTGCTGCTGACAGAAAAGACCTTTGGCCTACAAAGTTGTGAGGCATTGAGCTGCTGTATATTCCTGCACTCTACTGCTCACAGTGAGCGTGAAGCTGGAACTCCTATAGGCTCCAATATCTCAGTCAGTCAAGCCCAGACACAGCCCTGTACCAGCCCAGAGAGTAAACAGTGGAGTTCATATCCCCTGGTTAGACGAGCAACGGCCAGGGAAGAAGAAGAGGAGGCGGAGGAGGAGGAAGAAAAAAACAGGGAAGAAGGCTTAGGAGTGTCAGCATGTGCATGCATGCACACATCCAAGACATTGGGAAAGTTTTGAGAGTGTTTCCACCACCTGCTTGAGCCTATAAATGTCTTCTGTTGGTAAACATGAGGTCTGTCTGTGTTTGTTTTGAGAGACCTGGAAATAGATATCTAAATAACATTCCTGACATGATTTTTAGTGGTGTAGGCCAACGTTTTAACCAAGATTATTCTCAGTTGTTTGCTTTATTCCCAATCCAAAATCAGACCTATGCTATATCTTGTTAAAACAACAGAAAATGTGGAACCTAAAAAGAGAAAGAAATATCCTTTCCTGTAGGTTTTATGCTTATGGAGCTGTAAACACCAGTGCATAAGTTCAGAGGGTAGAGCAAACTGACAGACCCCAGCCCCCCTTTACATGGATGGTATTTATCAAAGCAAGGACATGTTGGACACTTTGTCAGACAAAAAAGCAATTCTTAAAATGCAAACACTTTCACATGCTTTTGAAACAGCAAAATAATACTTAATACTGTTGGAGGGAGTAAAAGGTTACAGGGTTCATCCTACAATGACCCCTGTCTTAAAGAAATGTTAACCATCAGGCTACAACTAACAGTTATTTTCATTATTGAGCGATCTTTCAATTTGAATAATGCTTTTCTGCGTCAGTCCAAAACCCAAAGACATTAAATATAGTGTTAAGTGAAACTGAGCGAAAGCAGTCAGTAGCCAAGAAGTGTTTGGCATTTTTTGAATTACAAATAACTGATTGTTAAAATTGCTGCCGACTTCTGCCGACTGACTATACAATTTATCGACTAATCGTTCCATTTCATCATTTCAGCACTAGCCAATTAGGAGTTGTTTACTGATAACCAACTTTTTTGGAATCTACAGTATGTCAACATTATCAACACAAATACTGCCTATAGCCAAGGGAAACTTTTAATGCGTGGGATATCTTAACAAGTAAGGCTGCATTTTTCATTTGTCAACAAATCCTATGAAAGGAACAAAACAAACAACATGTTATGTTGTCTTCTGAGGAGATAGTGCACGTGTTGGGGACTATATTTAGTGGTGGATTAATACACATTTAGTGCTGTAGTGAGTATTCACAGCAGCAGGACGGTGTTTGTTTGATCGACTCAAAATGATCACCAGTGTGCATGTTCAGCGTAATGTCAGAAACTTGTGACTCAGTTCAACAGTATGGCTCATTGATCTGTTTGTAATCATTTTGGGACAACAATGTAGGAATGTTTCGGATGATTAGGGTACAGAGGAATAAGATATCAGCCTTTGGCTACACAGGAAACACTATGTTACACTAATTGTTGGTTTGGTTTTTTCATAACATTTGTTGGCAATAACAAAATTAGATAATAACACCAGACGTATCCTTTAACTATTACTACATGCACATAAAAGATTGTATATAAATAAAGATTATATTTTTTAAAAAGTTAAAATGCTGTAAGACTGTAACTTCCATTGTCAATAATCTGTGAATTAATTGATTGATTAGTTGTTTGGTCAGTGAAATGTCAAAAAGCCTTAGGTCACATCTTCAAATGTCTTGTTTTATCCACAACCCAAAAGATATTCGGTGTACTGTCATCAACCAGAAAATATTCACATTTAAAGGGAGAGTAAGTGATTCTGCAAAAGGATTGTAGATGCTTGAATTCAACTGCCAAAAAAATACACCCCTCTCCTCAGTGCTCCCTCAGAAGCTCCCAAAATTTCCAATCTCTGAGGTTTCTCTAGCGTTGAAACGCCTTCACCCTCGTCTGGTCATAACTTTCTTCTATACTCTTCAGACCTTTCAAATGTACCCGTGTATAGAACTCTCTCTCAAACTTCCCCCTCCCCCCTTCACTCATGTTCACAGCACTCACAACACTTGTTGCCGATTTGCTGGAACAATGTTTTGTTGCAAGGTCCGGACCACTTTCTTTGTTTTCTATTTACAGAGCCCGGGCTGTATAGGAAAACATGATTTTTTTTTTCAGAGCACACACAAAACGAGAGAGAGCTACAGAGCTAGCAAACTGCATGGATTTATTCGCTGAATTTAACAAAAGATGTATTGAATTAAAATCACTTACTATTCCTTTAAGAAGCTAGATTCAGAAATTTTAACTTTTTTCTTAAACAATTACTTGATTAATCGATAACCAAAATACAACAGTTGACAACTAATCAATTAATCGTTGCAGCTCTAAAATGCTGTTACATCCAGTTTTCTGCACTTCATCCTTATGTGTGAAACCAGGAGTTTACAACAACTTCTTGACCTTGCCTAGAGTCACATTTGGTGGAGATATATGTACACTTTTCCTTTTAGTGGAGCTTGTCTGAACTTGACATAAACAACCACCTCCCTGGTCAATCCCTCCTTTCAGTCATTCACAGCCCCACTTCCTCAAAACAGCGACCCCTTACTCCCAAAAATCTCCCTGGCATCGGCCGTTTTCAGTTCCAGGCCGTTTTCAGGAATTTGTTTTTGTGAGCCATCACAGAATTCTCAGCAAGTTAGGTTTTCTTCCAGGAACTACGATCCACTTAGTCTGTGCAAACACACACACACACACACACACACACACACACACACACACACACACACATCCTCCTTCGCACACACAGTCACACTGTGTGCGCATGCAAGCCCATGCACATGCACAGTACTTGCCAGCACACTAAGAAAGTGACCCACACATTAAGAATACAGATGAGAGGCCTCATTGGTGGGGGACTGACAGGCGGGATTCCTTCCTATGTGTTGTCCACCAATCAGTGCAGGCAGAGTGATAAACACGGTTGTAACAGGATCCTTGCAGCACATTGTGTTCCCTCTCCACTGAGAGAAAAAAAAACAACTCCTCACTTCCTGCAAACAGTTAATCTTCTTGTTTATTCTATTCTGAATTTACGGGAACTTAACATCTTTTTCAGGCATAAATATCATACTGGCCTCTCTCCCCTGTGTGTGTTAACACAGAGGCTAAACAACAAAAGGATCAAATAAGCATGCTGACCAGGGGAGTGAGTCATAAAGGCTGGGGACACAACACGAGAGGCACAAACTGTCCTTCTCTTTATACAGAATGGGGCCAGTGGGCTGAGGAGTAAACTACCCTCCTCTGTGTACTATAAGCAACACAGTGTACCAAAAGTTATTTCTGTGCAGCTATTTAAATCAAGACCTCTCATTATGGGCATAAAAAAAATGATAGGACTTAGATTAAAAAATGTACTTTCCAGACAATGTTCAAATCTGCCACAATAAGCAGGCAGTGTCACCCAGATGTGTTGAACTCAAGCCCTTGTGAGCCTCCATCCTTTCACTACCAACAAACTGACCTTGGTTGAGTTAGAGAGGAAAGGCAGGAGTGTTTCCGGTCAGAGGGCGGCGTTTGTTTACCAGCCACAAAAGCAGCATGGCAGGAGCAAGTGTCATATTACAACCGATGCTCATTTAGTCCATTAGCTTGTCAGCTGACCGTGGCTCCCCTTCACCACAGAGTGCCCCCTGGGCCACATGGCTCCCCTCAGAGGAACCAATACTTTTCTTTTATAACTCAGCAAGGGACAAGCCTAGAGAGGGCCAGCCAACTAAAGGTCATGCTCACTGGATTTGCTTCAAATAGAACATTCACTGATTCATCAGCTATAACAAGACCACTAGAGTAAACCTCTAAGTCATTTCAATGACAAAGGAACCTTTGAACAGCCTGCACTGCAAGTCTTTTAACAAGAGTTTAACACTACACTGTTGCATTTTTGTAGAAAGGTGATCAGACTCCTTGTCATTGGATAAAAACATGCATGGTCACTAATAGTGAATTATCACAACAATTATTTTCATCGTTGATTAATTGGCAAAATGCCTGCTAAAATTTCCCACAGCCCAAGCTGATGTCGTAAAATGTCTTGTTTTGTCCCCAAAGATATTCAGCTCAATATCATGAATGACACAGAGAAGGCTAAAATCGTCACAGCAATATTTTGAGTGTTTCTTCTAACAAAATTACTTTTAAACATGATAGCAATCTTTCAATGCTCAATAATAAAAATAGGTAGCAATTAATGTTGTGGTATTTGACTAATCGCTTAATTAACTAATAATTTCAGCTCAAATATATTTTATTTTTTCAATGAATATTAATACAATGTATAGACTTAACCAACTAAAAAAATCTGACCCAATTCCATAGAACAGTACTTTTTTTTAATGTTGAGACTGAAAGGAACCACATTCTTACACCTATATAAAACATACTTGTGGTTTTCTTGAGAGAATTAAGGTAATAAAGGCTGTTGCAAACCTGTTCCACACACTGGAGCACGAGTGGGCGTCAATTCAACTCTGGCTTGTTTGTGCATAAGATTCTGAAAACATCATGTTGTCTTTCCCGACCGAGAATTGGCCAGAATCACTCAGAGAGGGGCTGGATTCAATTAGAAATGTTTGTGTCCGTTGTCAAACAATGCCATATGGCTGGAGACAGTGTGAGCACTTTGTGGGGCCTGCTGCTCTGTGAACAATAGCTCAACCACTGAGACACACTGTGCCACCAAGGAGAAGCATGCAAGGCCTGAGACCAAGGAGACCAGCAGGCCTTTTTTCTTTTTTCAAAGTTGTTTATATTGTAGAAGAGAATCATACACAGTAAATAAAATGTGATCCATTTTTCTCTTTTGGCAACAAGTGAAAAACCAAAGGGCCCAATTATCAGCTAGTTCAACAGTACCTGGTTTTCCCTTTTTCTGCAGGAGGAGGAGCTGAGGAAGACCTGGAGGGAACTCTGGGCTTGAGGATGGACAGGGGAGAGCAGTCAGGCAAAGGGACGGAGTAAACTCTCTGGACCACCACCTCCACGTCCTGCCCCACAGAGCCAGCCTGGCCCAGCCCCTCAATAACTTCCAGGAGAGAAAGGCAGTGTCTTGTCAAAACTCCTGAACCTCCAAAACTGCACAGACCATCAGAGGTGGAAACCTGAATGGGAGAAAGAGAGGCAAATGAGACAGTACTTAACGTACATGATGTATTACACCTTAGAACTGAAGCGATTAGTCAATTATAATCAGTGAGTTTGATTGGTAAAAAATTTATCTGCAAGTTGTTTTGATAAAAGACTATCTTTGAGCTTTGGACTGTTGGTTGGACAAAATAATACATTTCAAGATGTCAACCTGGATTTGGTTTTTAGTATTTTCTGACATGACACTAACCAAACAAGTGATCTTTTTATGAAGAAAATAATCAGCATCAATAATGAAAATAATCTGTCGTCTATGCTTCTGTAACCAGATGCCCCCAAGTGCGTACTGCACGGCCCAGAGTCGAATGGGCGACCTCGGGTACGTGAGGCCGACGCGCTGACGAGGAGGCTAAAACTCATGGGCCCTGGCATCGGTTGCCAGTGCGTTGGGGAGTGAGGTTTACTCACTGCACAGTCTCGCTGGCTTCCGTTACACTTCTATGCAACATTGTACTAATTTCACTTTAATGAGTTACTTTTTTTATTTTTATTTATGGCATCGGACAGTCATTTGCAGAAAGTCTGTCATTGTGACGACTTCCTCAGTCTGCCTGCCTGTATGTCTTCTCTGTTTTGCAGATTCTGGGTGTGGCTTGTAGGTAGAGCTGGGAGTGTCCAGTGCATCTACCTGCCCATCTGGGTTGGGCTTCCTAGAGGGCATAAAAGGCGGTCTTTCTAGAAATCACTCTCTCTGCTGGCCTGCTGCTTCAACCCCAGCCTTTGTTGCTTTGTTAAGTTTGCTGCACCCACCAACATGCATTACACTTCATCCTCATTCATCCACACACTTCTGACATGACTGATGTTACTCATATCTACCCATGCCATCAACTTAGTTAAGTTGTTTGTTAGGTTGAGTTAAATAAAACACTTTTGTTCTTATTATCTGTGTGAAGCCTCCCTTTTTGTTGCCGGCCTTGAGCCAGGCGGTAACAGTCATCAACAACAATCATGGCTGAGCAGTAATCAAGGACCACCTTTTTCTTTACTCTGCATTACAAATCTACTTTAAAAGGAGGGCGTGGCGCCACGTTATTCACAAGATACTCAATCGCTGCCAGCAGTGCTCAGTGAATTTATTTGTATTTGTGCAAAATAGAGATTCAGATTTTGAAAATCAAACATACATGTAAACAAACCACGATATCCCTCCAGCAGGGACTGAATGCACCTGTTACTGACTGATGTGGGTTTAATGAGACGAGATTATTTATTCTTTGTGTAAAAATATTGAGAAGCAAAACAGATGAACCCTGTGGCAAAGGTTGCTGTTGCACCTGTGAATTTATGAAGACTAATTTCATATTACATTTATGAAGAATACGAATTAACCAAACTACCCTGCGCACAACATACTGTAGCTGTCACACTGCCAGTTGTGTTTTTACTGGACTACTGACATTGTGTTTTTTCTACAGTGTGCACCCAAAGTGATTGACATGTCTAGTCCTATATAAGATACATTTTGAATTGGGAATTAAATGTACGGCACTTGATAATAATGATAATTATGATCTAATGATATCGAAGCATACACACCTGTTCAGCATTGTTCTCCTCCAGCAGTCCAAATACTTTACACAGAGAATACGGACTGCACCTTTCTGCTGAGAACAGGCCTCTAGGAATGGACATGCCGACTTGTTTGGAAGCAGAGTAGACTTTCTGGCAGAAGTGTGTGTTCAGAATAATATCACAGCTGAAACCCTCCATGGACAGACTTTGCCTGCAAAGAGATACAGTTCATTAGTTTTAGATTTGAGGTATAGCAGTTGTTTTAGGGTATATTATTGCATTCTATGCCTCGACTCCGCACTTTCTTATTGCGTGGAGCAAAAGAAATGAGTTTAGGATGTTGAATTCAGCATGAAATTAAACATATTTAAAGATGTTGGGCAATGAACACTTTGTGTTGTGATTGCGTTAACAGATGCAAAAGCTCAGATACATTAAATGGAATAGATTATTGCACAAACGTAGGGGGCGAGAGCTCGAGAATGTTTGAATGTCAAACTCAGATAAGGTACCAACCACCTCCACAGGTCTGTTCACTAGGTACCACCCAGCACAGAGTACAAGTTCAAATACATTAACCTTCTCCAAGGCAAGTGAAAACACACAGCGGATGCATCTGTCCTCTTTTACTAAGGTAAAAGATACATTTTCCATGTAACTGAGGTTCTTAAAAGGCTACACCTCGCAGCGCTGCACAGCTTAATTAAAACATTTTCCAAATGTGACATCATCTGTGGAAAATTACTTCCAACATCCCTCAGAATCAAACTGACGAAAAAACACCAAATTAAATGCAAAGACTGCATATGTGTGACCTGAAGGGCCCTTGGGTTAGTGTTTAATTTTACCGTTACCAGCTCAGATTTCACTCATCTGTGTGTGCCAAGAAGGAGAAGCTGAATTTCTCCGTGAAATCTAAGGAAAACATTTCCGATCACATGTTCAGGCTAGGTAGATGACACACACCTGATGGTTCTAAGCCTGAGAATATAAGAACTTGAGTGACGGCCAGATAATTACATGGCACACAGTTTTGTGGCAAGTTTGAGTTACGACTCCCCCCCCCCCACCCCCCACACACAGACATGTTATAATAGTGGATAATATTGTGGTGATGGCTTATCACTGACTCAGAGCCAACTGCACATTTTGACTGGAACAGCCGCACATGTCGCAGCTCGTCTGCACCTGTGGTGATAGTTGATTCAGAGAAATCAAAACACACAGATAAAGTGGGTAAAAGTATTTGTTTGGATGTGCAATGAAAACAAAAAGAAGAAAAAATTCTCCAGAGACTAAATTCTTATATACACTCAGCTACCAGGTTTAGATGCAGATAGCTAAAGCAAATTGCAGTCTAAAGCATTTCCTTTGTGAATGTAATAAATTATAAAGTTTTAGAGAGTTGTTTATCTATGTTTCTGTCATTTTGGAGGCTGTAGTTTGTCATTCTATTGAATTGTATTGCATTATACTGGGAGGTGTTTCTAATATTTAGTCTACCCTCATTGATATATATGGAAATGATCACATATTCACAAGATAGATATTTCAAATTAACAGCACAAAAGAGTCTAAAGAGGGTGGACACAATTACACAAGGAACTGTACAAACTACATTTAAATCAATAATAATAATAATCAAAAACACTATAATAAATAATTTTTATAAATGTTTACAGTCTTTATTGCAGGATTACTGTCCTTTATTGCATTTAACTGTACATACAGTCCAGGCATTGTATGCTGTACCATGTTGGGGCAGACACTTGGATGACTCATCCATTTATCCATAAACTGAGAATTAATCCACGTATTCTGACAGTCAATACACTCAGTGATTTATGAAGTAGACTTATCTAACATTTGCTGGTCATACTTTGAAGTGCTAAAATATTTGTGTCGTTCTGTAAATCATATTATAAAACAAATAGTGGCTGCTAGTCAGACTATGTAAGGCATCATTATTTTATAGACTAAATAATGAGATAGGAGATGTGGTAATAAATAATAAGTGGTTACTTTACATCAGGTACATTTAGCAGCTAATGTACTTAAAGTACTGTAACTTTGAGGAACTTCATTTGAGAATTTCTATATTATGCCACTTAGTCCCAACACTGCAGTACATTTCTGAGGGAAATATTGTATGTTTTAACTCCACTATATTTATTTAACAGTTGACAGTATTGTTAGTTACCAGTTACATTTCAGATTTAACTTAACTTAATCAGTTCATAATACAATGTTATACATTAAATTACCTAGCAGGGTGTAGATCAGTTACAGTAAGATCTACTTCAACCAGCCAGAACAGTAAAGTGCAGTTTGCATGTTGATGCATCAATACTACTGAAAAATATGACGTTATTATTGTTCAATAATATAAGGTTCTCTCTTATTCAAAAATCTAATCTCATTTATTGATTTATATTTCCATCTCATTTCTTCAATATGCCGTTCTGACACCTGCACCTAAACAAATTCCTCGAAATGGGGTATTTTCATAGTGTGGTAGTATTACTTCTTTTTCTTCAACCACCACTGACGTTTGCCAAACATAATACTGACTTCTCCCGCCTATGGAAAAACAAGCGGTCATGTTATAATTAAGCCTGATGGCGGCTTTTATCAGTCCAACATCTGAGCTAAGATCACTAATCAGTCTAACTGTAATACTATAATGTTAGTAGAGCGGAACGTACTGTTCATGAGAACACGTACAACAGCAGTACAGGAAGCAAACAGGTGAGTGGGCAGCTGTCATCATCATCAGACAGGTAGCCAGTTTAAGGAGCGGCCCGGCTGCTGGCGTCACAGCTCGTAAGTGAATAATCCCTGCAGGTATTTCCGCTCAGGCCCCAGCCCATTCACAACAAGGCGTGGGAGGTGGGAGGAGCCAACCTACTCACTGCAGGAACTATGGGGGATGTTAACCCCTCTAGTGTCACACAGGAAACTGATAAGAGGAATTTTAACAGACACAGCTAATGTTCCTGTAGCTGCAGAAGTTGGATAAATGAATATCTCTTGAGAGAACATTGAGCTTCTCACCACCTTCTCTTGGTTATAACAGTTTTGTTGTGATTTAGGGACTTTATATTCAGTTAGAATACTGACTGATTTTAAATGCAGACCAAATGCTGTAACTGCTGTAAGTCATTTACAAAAATAAAAGATTTAAGGATGTCTTTTCAGATAAAAAAAAAAAATCTTTGAAAGAGTAAATTTGTGCATTCGGTGGGGGCTCTACTCTATCTTGTGATTTCAGGAATATAATAAAACAGGAAAGGAGAGGTGCTAAAGCCAGAGATTCATTCAAGCCACCATGTGTTTTCAATCTCAGTCTGTTGGCTCCTTCCACTCTCTGCTCCCAAATGCTCCAGAAAATAATCCTACTCTGTTTTTTCCCCCGGCTTGCTGGAAATGACCTAACTACTGCCAGGAAGAGGAATGTGAAGCATTCCCTGGAGCTGTTTGTGACGTCAGAGCGCTGAGGAGGCCCCTGCGCTTCCGCCAGCTTGGATATTCCAGAGCACACTCAACCTAAACTCCCAACAGCTGGAGTCAAATGCTGCCTCGCTTCGACTCCAAAACAGTCCTGAAAACACACACGCCCCCACCTCACCACCTCCCAGCCGCTCTCCCCTGTATGTGAGGGACTGTTCTTCACATCTGGGTCTTTGCTGCTTGCTATTGTGAGCTGAGAACAGTGCATTTTTATACTTAAAGCCCAAACTGATTGTATTTAATCATTTGTTTTTCAATATTTATTATATATATTCATGTGTAGTATTCTGCCTGTCAGTATGCCTCCTCAGCATTATTTTGTGACTCTTTGGTCTGCACATAGTGAGTCACTCTTGTCTTGTGTAACTGGCTGTAACAGTGTCTGTTTTGGATAGTTTTTGATCGCCTGCCAAGAGGTGATTGAATTAAAAATTAAAAACAGGGAAATGCAAGAAGTTTAGTTGATCAGTCTAATATTCATTTTTCACAGAAAGGTGTCACCCACCAGATACATAGGTAACGCGTTGTTACGTGTTTATTCTTATTATAGAAAATATCAATTAATCAATTAGTCAGTTGACAGAAAATTAATCAGCAGCTATTTTGATAATTGATTAATCACTAGTTCATTGATTGCAGCTTTTCAATTGTGATGATTTTCTGTGTTTCATATCGCTGTAAATTGAAGACTTTAGTTTTTTGACAGTTGGTTGGACAAAACAAGTAACATTTGAAGACGTCACCTTGAGCTTTGGGAAATCATATTTAGCATATTTTACTATTTTTAGACATTTTTTTGAAGATTAATCAAGAATAAAATCAGCTGATTGATTAATAATAAAAAGTTTTCTGCAGAGCCTGCTAACTGCCCTACCAAATATTAAACTAATATATAACCAATAACCAAAGTACTTGTGATGTCAGGTGGGGGTCGATACATCCAGGTTAGATAATAATAAGCAGAAGACATTTTTGGGCAGAGGGGGGCCTTCAAAGTGTGACATGTGTTGCATCCTCTCACCACGGTGGGTATATGTGGAGGATATCTCTGGGTGCAGGAATCAGCTGGGCTGCGGTCTCTCTGTTGAATAACACCAGCATACGTGCTCTCTCCTTAGAGACGGGGTTACTGTGTTGGAGGCCCTCTCTGGGGGGCTGATGGTGCTCACAGTGCACCAGTTGCAAGCTGCACTCCTCCTGAACCTCCAGCACCTCCAGCACCAGTACACCAGGCCTGTCCACTGGAGAGCAGAGCAACAACAACACAGATGTTGAGTGTGTGTCCGTTTCAGTCTGCGTACAGAGTGTACTCGTGCTCTTACGGAGGCTTGCTCTCGGTGGGACTCATTATTCGTTATGAGGGTAATTCACTTTTAGCATCAGAACAATTTACACTGCATAACTGTAAAGCTTTTACTGACTCAGGCTGAGTTGGATGTGAACGGCAGTGTGTAAATGTTTAGAACTTTACCACAATGCCAACTGTGCTTTTGGCTTGAACAATAAAGTCAACCGAGATAATTAACAAGACCAAATCAAGACAATGACCTGGCACTATAAATCAAACTGAGATAAGAGACTAACTTGGCTGCGTGGAAATTTTATGTGTAAACGTGATTGCACGGAGTTGTGCAAATTGCAGCATGACAGCACACAGTGAATGCAGTTAAGTGTCTTGTGTACGTTACTGATCCCTGAAAGTGGCCAGAGGGGGGAATTTTAATATGACAAGAGTAAATCATATCAAAGGGATCGCTATTGAGTTTTAACATGCATTTGTCCAAACATGAATGTAAAGTGCTCCATTTGTGCTCCGTGCATTTAGGCCCCACATTACAAAATCATCACAATAACCACAAGCAGCAGGCCCAATCTGAGATAGCAGTCGAGTCCTCCTCTTCTTGACCTATAATGATCTGGTATCTGGTAAGTCGCTGGCAGAGCATTATGTCAGGAAACAATTCTAGGCCTCCTACATGTGCGAGTGCACTTACATCACATACCAAAATGACTACAATTAAGATAAACAGGTGTAATATAACAGCATAATCTAGTTGAGTAACAGTGTTGTTATAGTTAAGAACTCACCCAGCAGTGGGACAAACAAAAATTAATGAACTTCTCCTGAAAAAGTATAATTAATGTAGCAGATAACATGTTTATATGATTAAAGATTAAAAAATCCCTGATGAGAGCTGTCTTTAATGTTTGAAAGTTTGAAAATTCTACATAAACAGAAGCAGGGGACAGGGAAGCAAAAACACCAAATATTGATTTGACTCAAGTCAATATAAGCCTCCACGATTTAACCCTCCGTTTAACTCTTTACACATCACGCTGATCAAACCATCGACTGACCACAAACTCTAAGCTGGATCGAGTGGGTGTTTTCTTTTTCCACAATCAACTGCCACTTTTAAGCCACTGCTTTCGTCCTATTATAGGGAGATATTTTACAACGAGAGAGCACAAGTGGTTTGGTACACCACGGAAAGAAAAAAAAAAAAAGACCTAGGCAAGCAGTTTCCTGTCACCTATATACTGAGTTCACAGTTCAGAAATACAGTGATCAAGCTACAGCCAGCACTTCCTCAGTGTGGCCTCTCCGTACAATCACAAAGAGAGAAAAAAAGAATCACGCCCACTTGCAGACTGGCTTCATCCCACTTACAAATCAAAGTTCATTGTTTAACATGAGTGGTGACTCTGAGGTGAATGGAAGTGTAATTGTGGATAATACTGTAGGTTTGTGTGAATCACCTGCTGTTGCTGCCGAGGTGCCAGAGATGGACTGGTGCCTCCAGAAGCTAATAGCTGACCTCTGTCTGCACTGGAGTCTATTCAGCCTCTCAGCGAGACCTCCACTGTGCAGCAACACAGATGTACAATAGATGATGTTACCTGATAAACTCACATAGTTAGTTACTTCACAATAGTTTATTTCAAAAGGAAAAGATTTTCTGACGCAAAAAACTAAACAAGAACCAAGCTGTCGAAGACTACAGATAGCCATCTGTCAGATTTTGGGGGCTTAGAGATGGCAATGACATTTAGCACCCACATCTTGACACCAGGTGTCCCTTTCATCATGAGTTCTGCCACGGAAACATTGCTGCCAAAGTCTGACTGTCACTTGGCAGCAAGCAATATGTCTTTTTACTTTGTTTGCTCTTATTATGAGGCAATACACTGTAACAATTGATATATATATATATACATATAATAATGTGAGGTATTGGTCCAACGCTGACCTTATTAAGCAGATCAAGTATCAGCTACACGTGACCCAACCATGCTAAATATAGTTTCTTCATTACTGTCATTAAGAAATTCTGTTTTTGTGCTATCAGTTACATTCACTCAGTCATAGCTGGTGGCTGACTCTGTTTATAGCACCACAGCAACCCCTGGATTTATGTTACCTTACATAAAAATGACCCCAATAAGTTTCACACACTGTAGTATGCAGATCTTAAACTAGGGAAAAAGGGAAAGCTGGTAATTCGAGAAATATTCACAATCGACATCATTAGGGAAAATGCTGAATTGGTGGATCCCTAACGTGACTTTAAAAAAAAACAACAACATTCAAACCTCTGAAATTTCCTTTTCTTTTTGGCGGAGTCTTCAGGAGTCCTGGCCTGCCTGTCCAATGGTTTCTGAGGTGTCTGCAGCATCGCCTGAGCAGATCTGACCCAGTCACTGACTGACCTTTTGCTGGCCTCACCAGTTTGGAGAGAAAAGCTGGAGTCCAGTCTGTTTGAGGCCATTGTGTCGCCAATATTCTCGCCATCAGACACATAGCCTGAGATCTCTAGCTCTGTCATCTAGGGGTAAAGAATAAAAAAAGATTTAATTAATTTAATTTTTTTAATTAATTTGACCCAGTTGTTTTGGAATGCGTCATGCTTGAATGAAATTCAATATTTGAAAGTGTTAAATCACAGATAAAATGCCACTATATATCAGGGAGACATTTGATATTTAAAATGGCCTCAGCCATCAGTAAATTAATAATCAACGATTAAATAAAATCAACAAACTCAATAATACAGTGGGTGGATATGGCAGAGTGATACACTGTGAGGCTGATTAATTCACAAGATATGGTAACAAAACAATCTTTTTTGCTGTGTCACTGCTCACTACACCTGAGGGACTCAGTTCTCATGGAAAAATCCAGAAGTAACCGGAGTTCCTGTCATGTGCAGACAAGACCAGCATACCAGGCTCTGTCAGCCAACGTGCTCTCTTATTTGAATCAACTTGACCCTGCTAGGCGGCGTGCCAGCAAACGTCACACTCTAACCAGCTACAGAGAATAAGGAACACTATGTTCCTGGCCCATGCTCAAAAATGTTTTCACCCGGCACTGAAAGCATTGTAAGTACACAGCTCTGCGCAGCTTCATCCACTCACATGTTTTCCTGAACAAACAGTAGTAAAAAGATGTTTGCAGTCTCGCTCTGTTGACATGGCCCTGACCTAGCATAGCCCTGATGTGGTGGAGGTTTGTTGACCCTTTGAGCTGCTGATGTTAGTGGACTCATGCTTCACATTAGAAGTGGACATCCTTTTCGGCTGTTAAATGCAAAGTCGCCCTCAAAGCTCCGCCTGTCCACTCTCAGTATAATAACACAAAAATCTGGCAGACATTCATAAAGTGAGTCAGTCGTACATTTATCTGGAATAATAAACTTGGACTTGGATCGTGTCCTCTGTATCCTGTTAGATCCGGTTTGATTTACAATTGGTAGTGTGTAAGCAAGCTTTCCAGGCAGAAAAAACTCAAACTAGGTTGTTACATTTGGCTGTTTTTAAGTAAACGAAAATCTACTATATGTCAACTAAAATATAATACTACAGTGTTATAATAGATGCTAGATACCCACATGCTGTTCCCATTACTGATTATGCGCTTGAGTGATGAGCAATCAAATTGTCCAAAAATACCACATGCATACATTTCAGTATAACCATATTTGAAACACTACGACCCATAAGAGTCTGTCTTTCTGGTGGGGCTCTGACCACAAGCCTCCTGCTAGGTGATCATAAGTCTCAGCTGGCCCAAGAGAGCTGATATCAGCAAATTAAACTGTGACAAGGGGAAGTAGCTGGGTCTGCGGGACTGATGTTAATCTGCCTACAGGCTTCCTCTCGACATACAGCCTGCAAACTCTGAGCTTGGTGACGAGGTAGTGGTTAAATTCTAACTTAAATTACCCAACTTAAATTCATCTTCTGTTTTACAGTATAAATAAATGCGTTTAATCCAGCTGATTCAGGTGATTACCAGCTTCCACCAGCACCATCCTCTTCAAGAACATTTTCATAAACCACTATCTAAACAACCGCATCACCTCAGAAATTCTAGCTGAATGATTAAGTTATAATGTGCGCTGCAACGACTAACCGCTGTGTGTGTGTGTGTGGTCCTTAACCTGAGCACAACACCTTCACCACTCCATGCCAGCTCTGCCTTTAACAAACACTGCTCCTGAAGAACGTCTGAGAAAGAAACAGTCATTTCAAAGCCCTTTTTAAAACAGAGGCTGCGGTAAAGAAGGCCCATAATTACTCCGACCTTGCTTCTTTACATTGAACCAGACAACGCTGGCATAACACTGCTCTAGTGTGTGATTTTACATTGCATGCTAGAAGCAAAAGAGGCATGACATGTAACACAACAGCGTCGGCATCTAGGCTGCGGTTGACAAGTCTTTTTTGCTTAGGAAGGTTCCTAACTGAGTGAAGTGACTTGGAAGTATTGAAGTGGCAGCCATGATAAGAGCTGGTCGAATTCTCTAAAAGCTAAGGAAAGGTGCCTCAATGCTTCCTTCTTAGCTCCTTTAGCATTGGGTACACCGGACCCATAATGTCATCCATGATAATGCCTTCCCACAATTTACTTCAGTCACAGATGCGGACACTCTTACCTTAATAAAGGCAATCAAGCTGGCTGACCTCTACAGTAAATGGAATGTAATATTTCAGTGTTTCCCACACACTGATTTATTTGTGGCGGCCTGCCACATTATCAACACTGACTGCCACATATTGATTTTCATTTTTTTTTTTCTAAAATGGGTAAAATCGTTCTTGATCACAGAGCTGCGCGCAGCGCATATATGCTCAGCACCTCCTCTCGCTCGGTCGCTCTCTCTCTCTCACCACAGTTACGCTGTCATTCTGTGGTAAACACTGTGTTCACATACAATAATTTGGGATTCATGTTGATAAAAATGGGTAGGCAGGAGGGTGAGTGTGAGCAAGCATTCTCAAAGTGACAACCCTTTCCATTATTTGGTGACTGGTATAGGCCTTTTTGCTATCTTGGTTATGAAGTAATATTCCACTGTGCTGTCCACAGTGGAACAACACTTTAGATGGCCTGCATTAAAACAACACGGGGCAGAGTGTCAAAGATGCGCTTTTTGTAGTCCATCTTCAGAACATTGTAGTTTCATCAAAGCAGGTCACGTCAGTAACATCCGCTGTCGCATAATTACGTCGCCTAGAGAAGAGCCGTTGGATTCTCTTAGCCCCGTGGTCGTCTTATGAATTCTCCTTCACATCTTTCCATGACCTTATAATGTTTTCCATCGAGGTCAAAGAAAAGTGGTTAGGAAAGGAGATTTTTTTTTTTGAATGCAGCCCTCATGTGTCCCGTTCTGTCGGCTCCCCCATTTTATACAGAAGTCGATTTGGCTCTGTTACTACCTCGGCTGGCGACTTAACAACAATGCCCTCCCCCAGTCTGTATTTGTACGTTTTATACAGATGGGCGAGGCGGAATAACAGTGCAACATTTCCACCTCGACCAGGCTGTGTAAAAGGGGCTCCAGTCTCCACAGCATAGAGGAGAGCCCACCAAAGATTGACTCCAATGATAGTGAAATTGCAAGCAAAGTGTGTTATGCGAGTCACAGCATATGCACCATATTGCATAGTGTTTGGGTGATTATTGTCATTATCGATTAATCTGCTGATTTTGAAGTTTGGTCTCCAGAGTTTCAGAGAGAAAAATGCACATAATTTCTCAAGCTGACGCTACTTGTTTTGCCTTAAAAAACAGTCCAACCTGCATTAACATTTCATTAACTGTAATGTGACACAATAAAGGCAGAAACACATTTAAGAAACTGGAACCATCAAATGGTTGCTTGAAAATGACTTAGTTAATAACAGTCAATTCATTTTCTGCAGATCGATGAATAAACTGTGTTGCAGCTCTACAGTGTTTTGCCTTCCACAAAAACACTACTGAAATGTAATTCTTTTCACATGGGGGGTTTCAGAGGATCAAACGCAACTATTGTCTTCTAGTGTCATTAAAGTAGTAATGATTCATCTTCATACATTATCAGCTGTTTTGAAAATCTGATTTGAATCAGTAAATAAGTGGCAGCTTTTACCAGTATGTGCTTTATTGCTGCCTCAGCTTGTGAACTTTGACAGTTTGGAACATAACCTGAATCTGGAAAGTGCAAAATGCAATGTTGGTTAGAGGCTGTAACGCCCTTTCAAGACATCAGAACATGACTGCAACACTCCACCTGGTGGTATAATGACTAAAACATTAAATCTAAACTAGAAGAGTGCAGATCTCCACCAGGTGTGTCTGGGGGCATGCGGGTGGGGAACAGATAGTGCAGGGCAGGCTGTGTGTCCAGCGTGTATGCATGATTTTTTTGTATAGTATAGTGGACATTTTCTTATATGGATGTATGCAACCTTTTTTAATAAAGTACATTTGTATACTATAGTCTCTGTTTTTTATATATATACACATACAGACATACACACACACACAGTGAGGAAAATAAGTATTTGAACACCCTGCCATTTTGCAAGTTCTCCCACTTAGAAATCATGGAGGGGTCTGAAATTGTCATCGTAGGTGCATGTCCACTGTGAGAGACATAATCTAAAAAAAAAACAAATCCAGAAATCACAATGTATGATTTTTTAACTATTTATTTGTATGATACAGCTGCAAATAAGTATTTGAACACCTGAGAAAATCAATGTTAATATTTGGTACAGTAGCCTTTGTTTGCAATTACAGAGGTCAAACGTTTCCTGTAGTTTTTCACCAGGTTTGCACAGACTGCAGGAGGGATTTTGGCCCACTCCTCCACACAGATCTTCTCTAGATCAGTCAGGTTTCTGGGCTGTCGCTGAGAAACACGGAGTTTGAGCTCCCTCCAAAGATTCTCTATTGGGTTTAGGTCTGGAGACTGGCTAGGCCACGCCAGAACCTTGATATGCTTCTTACAGAGCCACTCCTTGGTTATCCTGGCTGTGTGCTTCGGGTCATTGTCATGTTGGAAGACCCGGCCTCGACCCATCTTCAATGCTCTAACTGAGGGAAGGAGGTTGTTCCCCAAAATCTCGCAATACATGGCCCCGGTCATCCTCTCCTTAATACAGTGCAGTCGCCCTGTCCCATGTGCAGAAAAACACCCCCAAAGCATGATGCTACCACCCCCATGCTTCACAGTAGGGATGGTGTTCTTGGGATGGTACTCATCATTGTTCTTCCTCCAAACACGGTTAGTGGAATTATGACCAAAAAGTTCTATTTTGCTCTCATCTGACCACATGACTTTCTCCCATGACTCCTCTGGATCATCCAAATGGTCATTGGCAAACTGAAGACGGGCCTTGACATGTGCTGGTTTAAGCAGGGGAACCTTCCGTGCCATGCGTGATTTCAAACCATGACGTCTTAATGTATTACCAACAGTAACCTTGGAAACGGTGGTCCCAGCTCTTTTCAGGTCATTGACCAGCTCCTCCCTTGTAGTTCTGGGCTGATTTCTCACCTTTCTTAGGATCATTGAGACCCCACGAGGTGAGATCTTGCATGGAGCCCCAGTCCGAGGGAGATTGACAGTCATGTTTAGCTTCTTCCATTTTCTAATGATTGCTCCAACAGTGGACCTTTTTTCACCAAGCTGCTTGGCAATTTCCCCGTAGCCCTTTCCAGCCTTGTGGAGGTGTACAATTTTGTCTCTAGTGTCTTTGGACAGCTCTTTGGTCTTGGCCATGTTAGTAGTTGGATTCTTACTGAATGTATGGGGTGGACAGGTGTCTTTATGCAGCTAACGACCTCAAACAGGTGCATCTAATTTAGGATAATAAATGGAGTGGAGGTGGACATTTTGAAGGCAGACTAACAGGTCTTTGAGAGTCAGAATTCTAGCTGATAGACAGGTGTTCAAATACTTATTTGCAGCTGTATCATACAAATAAATAGTTAAAAAATCATACATTGTGATTTCTGGATTTTTTTTTTGTGATTATGTCTCTCACAGTGGACATGCACCTACAATGACAATTTCAGACCCCTCCATGATTTGTAAGTGGGAGAACTTACAAAATAGCAGGGTGTTCAAATACTTATTTTCCTCACTGTATATACACATATACATACATACACACACACTGCATTTTCCCCAATGTCAGCTGGGATTGGCTCCAGCCCCCGTGACCCTGTACGGGGCTGATTTACTGACTGACTGACTGACTGAATATATATATTAGAATAGTGTAATTGTATTGTAACTGAGCTTCCAGGATTCACCTAACTGTATAAACTTAGTAAACTACAGATTAGGTAAGCCTTGCAAAGCCAAGCCGATTGCTGGAAATACCTTTTGTTGGAGCGCTTATCATAAAATGGTGAATACTGCTGAAAAGACAAAAATCTCACCTTTAGATAGGCTCAGTCAATAAAATCGTTTTTTAAAATTAAGTTTACAAACTTAAAAATAAAACAAGTATTATTTTGCAATGTACTGAAACATTATGTGTTCATGCTATGTAAACCAAAACGGTCAGGTTTAACGCACACAGTGAACAGAATACTATTTGGTGTCTGACTGGACTCTAGGAAAAGTACTGACAATTATGGTACTACACTACTTCTAGGAAAACGACGTGCAGTGACAGTCAACTCAACACTTCTAATTTAAAAACATTGGACTCAATTAGGTTGTGTGGCCCCATCTAGTGTTCATTAAAACACATAACACCCTTGAGAAAAGGGTCATGTTGCACTGTCTACAGACCACTGCGCATCACGGTACCGCTGTAAAGAACATGAAGTTATCAGAAATAAGTCTCGTACACTCACTTTTGTAGGTTTAAGAGGTAAATCCTCTGTTTTTTCATCAAAGGACTCCCAGTCAGATATTTGTTGCCCACTGTCTTCTTCAGCATCTTCCTCAGATTCATTCAGATCACTGTCTGTGTCAATAACAGGAAGTTTATCTAAAGAAAGAAAAGACAGAAATTAAAACAATTTTGTCAAATTATAAATTTGACAAAGTAATCTTAACAGAAGGTCCACTTACTAGCCTTTTCTGGAGCTTTCAAACACATATTATAGACAGTGTCAGTGAATGGAGATTGTTCAGCTGTTATCATGTGACCAAAGTTCGTTACTTAGGACACAGGATGACAACTCCCTGACAACTGAGAAAACTCTGGAAAAAGTCTAGTAAATAGGTCTTGAGTTAAAGTAATATTTTGAAGTGGAAAATAAGTTTATTCACGTTCTTCCCACACATGAGTTGAGAAGTTTGATTTCCCGTACAGATACAAGAATGGACTCATGTCTGTACGGTAATATGACAATATATCTTATTAGTTTAATGTGTACAAAAACATGTAAAAACATGTTGTGTTTCTCATCAAACTCTCAATAAAAAGCTTTAAACAGTTCCTTATTTTGTCAAACAACTGTTTCCAAGGTCCGGAATGAATTTTCACACTCACATGGATGTAAGTCTAATAGACCAAGTGTAGCATGAGATTTAAAACAAAGGTCAGCTCTGAACTGCACACTCAGAACAACCTAATATGTCGAAGCCCTGACTCAGCAAGGCACAACTAACTTAATTTACCTTTATCAGTGCTGAGCATGTGCAGCGCTCTGGTGTAAGACTGAATGGGAGCTGTGGGTCTCCCTGGTCTCTGAGGACGTTGCTGCTGCTGAGCCACAACTCCGGACAGATGCTGCTCCTGGGTCTCATCATCAGACTGTTCACTGTCACTGGAGCTCCACGCAATGTGCACTGAATCCTCATTAGGGTGAACAGCACTGGTCTGCACTGGTCAAACACAAGAGTACATAAGAAGATAATATTGTACCGTAATCAAGAAAAAGATGCTTGTTAAATTTAACAATTAAAAACTTAGAAACATGTCCAGAGAGTCAAGTGGCTACACCTTCCACCTGTAGAGACAATTGTGCACTCATACCAACTTAAGCAACCCCCTACTTTTAATAAATTAAGAACAGAAGAAATGAATGGTGGGTATTGGTTGAAATTAAACACAGCCTCTTACTTACAAGCTTGTTTTTCTACAAAGCTTTTTTCTTTAAACAAAAGAAGGAAGACTTTTCAAATATTAATTACAAACTATTTTGATGAAATAATAAGTTAACAAGACTGTGCATCTTATCTAATGATTCCAGCTTTTCAAACACACACAGACATTTTGGCATTGAGTTTTGATACTCAACTGTTTAGACCGAACACATATTACAAAGAATGATTTTATTATGAGTGTGGACATATAAGGATTAGTCAATATAAATACAATTGTGGATCATGAATTACTATAATGAGAAAAAACACAATGTGTTTACACTGATGATAGCCCATAATGTATTAGGCAATAGAATTAGACTAAACAACCAAGTACCTAAAGCAGGAGACTGTGCCAACTTTCTTATGGCAGACAGTTTCCTTCCTGATGACTTGAGGTTCTGCAACAAAACAACAGTATCAAAACCACCAACAATGTTGACAGCAAAAGCTGAATAATGCAAAAGTTGTGGGTAATGTGAGTATTATATGGTTATCAATCATGTCATGATGCAATTCATACAACTTTATCAACCTGTAACTCCACAAAACCGTCTCCACATTTCTCCCAGCTCTTGGCGGAAGACACAGATGGGAGCGATGATTGCTCTCTCTCCACTTTTAGGAAACCATTTTGGACATCATCCGGAAAAAATACACAATTTATATCCTTGTAGTATCTTTTCCGCTACAAACAAATAAACAAAAGGGCAAGATGAGTCATGTCAAAAACATCACTGAATGAAACAAGTGGATTAATAGCTCTTACTTAGCTCTGATTGTGATTGTGATTGCTGTCCTGAATGAAGATTAGTTTATACCGGGGTTCACTGTTACAGCTAGCTAAATTACAAAAAGTGTCTGTTAGTATAGATAGTATAGAAAATATTTATCCATGACTGACAGGTAAACTCCACTGAGCTGTGGGCGGGCAGAGGCAGATAAAGGGTTGCCAAAGCTAACTAGCCTTTAGCCTAAAGTTAGCGTAAACTTGCTAGCAACTTAGCTGGCTAGGTAGGTTGCAGTTTTCTTACCTTTCTGGAAGACATGACGACAAAATAAATTAATTTTGGGCCGGTGTTGTAGTTTATGTGTATGTTCACAAAACGTTATCTAATCAAATATGTTTTATTAGTTAAACCGTCGTTGTGCAGTTGCAGTTTGCCGGTGTAGTTGCTATCTCACTGTTTTGCTAACGAGAAGCTGTTGCTCAATCTGGAGAGGGGTGTTTTATTATTCAACAGCGTGGACCGGAGGCCGACCCCAGTGTCGGAGAGCATGCGTGTGAGAGAGAGAGCTTATGGTTATGATTGAAAGTACATTTAATCAAGTGCCGTTTAAACAGGTAGAATCTAACTTGTTTGTCTGCTTCTATCAACTTATACTTAACTACATTTCAGCTGTGGTGGGAGAAGCCGTTTACTCAAGTAAAAGTACAGAAGAAGAACTCACTGTACGACGCTCCTTGCAGTGTTATATTATGTACCTTACATCACTGGTGTGTTAAAATTTAAGCAGCATTTTGGGTATAGCTACTCAAAGTGGAGCTGATTTTAACTACTTTAAATAATGACAGGAGAACCATGTGTTTTGCACGTAAAATCTAAATCTGCAAAAGAAAAATAGCTGTAAAACTATAAAATGGAGTGAGTATTTCCCTGTGAACTGTAGATGCTGATTACGTTAATGTATCCAATAACACTCTGCATTATGAGTACCATGAAAATACCTGCAAGTACATTTGCTGATAATGCTTCTGTACTTTACCTTGAATGAAAACACTGCAATACTAGTACCCAAGTAAAAAAAAAAGAAAAAAGATCTGATGAAATACTTAAACAACCCTACATGTAATTTGCTGTGTAGAATGTTTCTGCCTCTACTCTGAATAAAGCCAAAACACCATCAAACCTTAGCTGAAGGTATGTAATATTGATAGTTACATAACTTAATTTCATTTTTATAACTATGACCAAGTCTAGTTACTGCTGTTGGGAGTGACATGACAACACTCCTATGGACTCAAAATGTAATTTTATTACAGCAAATCCATCCGAATCTCAACATCTTTCAAATAGCAGGTTAAACATACAAAAAGCTCACTTAACATAGTTGTTTTTTTATTAAATATGTAAAAAGCAGGTCAAGTTATTCACAAATAAAATGCAAACATGCAACACGTTTTTTGGGGAATGCATAATGAGTGGGACATGAAAAAAAAACATTTACCATTCATTAATTATTGACAGTACATGTTTACATTCCTTTTCATTTACACAATAGTATATGACAAAGCATTATGGTGCACTGCCCAGTTCAATATTAGTAAATGCAATATTAAGAAAGGGTATACAATGTACTTACTGGAATATATCATGGCAAATTACTCAGTGAACAGACTCGTCTCCCTAAGACCTGTGGTTTTAAAAACAACAACTCTGAAATCTGAACAGACCACAAGTTCCAGCTGAGGTTTAAAATTTAAAATGCTGCATCATAATAAGACTAGTCCACAATAACGTTTCTTCCTTCCCTATGTTTATGGCATACCAAGTAAACTATATCACCAGACCACCTTGAATGGTGTGAATAACACATTGTTGAGCACACTGATTATCTGAAGTCTTGTAATTTGTGAGGATAGCTGTCAACAGTCATAAGATGGCATTATACTACATTTTTATTCACAATTCAACTGTGTTGTACTCCTTCACGAGGATGCAATTCAAAATCTTGCACTATTTCTAAGGCTAAATAATAATAATAATAATAAATATGACAAGGGTCTATGGACAGATTGTCCAATACAGAGTCAAATGTCAGTGCAACATATGGAAGGAGGTTAAATAAGAACTACTACAAGCCCTTTCAGGGCTTTGCTTATTGCATTCTTGTGATTAATATTGTTGATATGCAAAATAAAAACAAAAATAAATGTAAAAGGACAGAAGCCGGGGAAGTTAACACTTGCACTGACAGATAATTACCTGTCTAAACTTCAGCATTTCATTACATCTACTATAGGTTTTGAATTGATGTTCCACACGCACAGTCCTCGGGAACTTCTGTGATGGTCTGAGCTTGTCTGCTGGTGGAGGACATCTCCACAAACCTGCCACAGCAGTTCACCAAAAGTCACAAAAAACATCGAACAGTGAGCAGAGGGATACCAAAAAAATAAAATAAAAACCGTGATGGTGCTTCTATTCAGGAGGATGCTTCATGTGCTCAGTCTTGGGGAAAACAAAAAAATATAGACCATGAGGAAAAATAAAAATCCTGTAACAGTTCTCACATATTAAAAAGGAGGGGTGTAACTGTGGTGAGGGATGATGGCAGTCAGTATTCATCCTGTTCCTCCTGCTGATCATCTGGTACCTGCTCGTGGGCTTGCTGGTCCACTTCCTGTCCGTCACCCTCAGCCAGCTCCGCCCCTTCCTAAACAAGGGGGCATAAACAGCTTAATACTGGTGCTACTGAAGTATGCTCCAAGGCCAACGCATGTGATTACACACAAACACTAAACTTCTCATCTCTTTCAACCGCACAATAACTCCCACCAGGATAATTGTCCCTTTTACTGGAGAGAACTGCAGCAAAATCTTAAGCTGCTTATCTAAGTCAAGACCGACCTGTTCGTCTGCGGCGTAAAGAACCTCCATTAACCGATCGACAAACGGGGCATGTTCTTCACCCTGATCCTGGCACAGCAGCTCCACCTCCCGCAGCTTGCTGAAGTAGTAGTCCCTCTCCTTCTCCACTCCTTCCAGTGCCAACTTTAATGTGTTCACCTATAAAAATAAAAATGTACAAGATTTATTTTTTTGCATCAACATCAAAAACACAAAACAATGTGGACTTTGCTTACAGACAACCGAGTCACTGATACAAGTTGTCTAAAGTGCACAAATCACATGTAACTAGAGTAGTGTAGAGTAAGCTGCCTAACTGATTAGGATGGATTTTTTTATTGATTAAAACTCAATCTTTATCCAACCATTGTTTAGATAATCTATTGATCCATTTAGTCAAGCAAAACTACCACTCAATTGCTGGTTACAGCTTCACGAATGTTACGACTTCTCTTCATTTAATCCCATTACAAATTCAATACTTTGGGTTTTTTTGGACTACTGGTCACACTACATGACCAAGTTCCAGCTCGCTTTCATCTTAGTTTTGTCCTTGTCTTGGATCTGAAGTGTACCCAACCAAATTATGGCAGCCAGAATGACAACATGGCTACTATTTGCAGAAACCTGTTAGACCACACACTGGAACATGACATAAACATGGCTCTGTTTTAATGAGCCATCTATGTGCAGCTCTACATTTTAAACATACTCAGCTATGTACAATGTATATAAAAAGTACTTGCCTGCACTTGGATTTTTAGTTATTTCTATATTTCGTTTAACCAAATTATATCACAGTGGATGCAAATAAGATTTTGACACTGATCTGCAGAAAAAGTAAAGTAGGCAAGCATACATTGCAAATATAAAATACACAATACAATTTCAAATGTTTTCCCCCATCAAGTAAATAATACCTTTAGAAGAAATAACCTTCCAATATTTATGTGGATAGGTCTGTAGTTCAACTCCAAACCTTGATTTTTCAGCTTTCTCTCTCACCATTCTTTTTTTTGCCAAACTGTTCAAGCTCTGCCACAAATTCTGAATTGGATTAAGCTCTGGACTCTGTCTTGACTTGGCCAGTTTTTGGAAGCCATTAACATGTGTTTGCTCTTGCACTGTGTTTCAATCTCACAAGTAGAAGAACAGCAGTCACAGAAAAAGCCCAATTGTCAAAATCTTTTTTCAACAAATATGTACAAGTAAACAAGTAAGTTCTGTGCCTGAAATGCGTTCGGGGGTTACAACAAAGATGAAAAAACTGATGGGGACATAGTGGATATCGATTAAAATATCAAATCTTTTTTTCTTTCAAGTTTAATGGCTGATTTCTGCTGAGTGAAAGTTGGAGAAACCAGACAGTTAATTGTGCCACTTAATGCCAAACAGTGGACACTTCACAAATCTAAGCACAGAACATTCAAAACAATGACAAAATCTTTTTTCGACAAATACGCACAAGTAACATTAGGTAAAATCTGTTTTCAGTCCCATTTACTCAACAAAATAAATATCTAATTAGAAAAATAAGTGCTGATTTGTCTATGATTCAAATGAATTATTAATAATAATAATAATATATTGAGATTATTATTGTTTTATTGCCCAGCCCTGCTGGTACTCCCCATTTACATCTTGCCTTGTTTATCGGTCGGTATTAGGGCTAATGTTAGTGTATTCATTATAATTTCAGATATCTTATTACATATCTTACCACTAGTATAATATTATTTCCAGTTGGACAGCAGTTTCATTTGTGTGGGTTGTTTCCATTCATTAAATTTGTGTAAGAAAATTTTTCTACATGGTGGTCAGTTTCTAATTACCGTTAGTTAATGCTAAGTACTACTTGTCAATAATCATTCATGCAGAACAACAAGTTCAACATTTCTAAAGTTTGCTGTAGCCCATCAAACTTTTTTAGTGTCCTGTCGCCTCCAGGCTACGTTGATGAGCAACTTTACGCACACAACAGCATGAAAGGCACCCAAGCTTCTATCTGCTATTTAGTCTAAAACGCATTTTTATATCAATAAATACACACGGACTGCTGTTACATCGTTTAACTACAGTTAACGTTAACATGTCAACAAAAAAATGGAACACCTTGACCTTTTGAGTTACACCTTAATTGACCCAATAGAAAATTCAATGCCCTGTCCACGGCCTACAATAGCCTATGAGTGTCCGCGTGGTCAGGAAGTGCAAGTCCCCTTCTTTTGTGCATACACCGACAGAGATTGTGAACAAAGTCACTTTGACAACTAGCAACTATTAACTAATTAATTAACTTAACACTTTGGTGATCTGATTGTTTCAGAATGATAGTAAAATTGTACATCCAACTGTCAGAAATGAGCTTTTCATTAACATACCTCCTCAGTAAGATGTGTAACTTGTGCTTCCAGTTCTTTCTCTCCTTTGGCAGGAGTTGTTGGTACAGGGATCTTTTTGGCTGACGAGGGTCTAGATGTTGGTGTTGAGGACTTGGGGGTCGTAGAGCTCGACCTTGATGCTCCTACAGCAGACAAAAGGTTTACAACTCAGGAGTGGATGACTGAAAGCATAATAAGACTTAA